TGGTATCATTAATTGTTTACGATTTATTTTTGTTTCCTCCAAAAGAAAAATTAAATATTTGTTTTGAAATGTATCTACAGTCTTAGTAAGTTTTATATTTAAATATTTAACAAAATTCAACGAGAGAAATTGAAATTTATTTAGTACAATTTTTACGGTTTTACTTCCAAATTCGCTGATATCATAATTTACTTATTAATTTTTTGCAACATAAATCATTATAATTTTGACAATGAAATAATATTAAACTATCAAGGCAGTTTACATCTATTATCGAAGAAATGCCTTAAATTTGCATTAACCCTCAGAGTGTTAGTTTCGGCTTTTTCCGAACTTTTAGATGCAAGCTTTTCTGTATCAAAAAAAATGGTTTCCCCCTTGTTATTCAATGGCATATATGGCAGTACTTTTACTTTCGTTACTTGTACCGTCGGTACAAGTAAAAAGTACGTACTTTTACTTGTACTTCGTTACTTTTTAAATTTAGTACNTCCGCTCAATTTTACCCAAGGGCTTAACGCTTGAGGATTAATTAATAAACTGTCTATTTTCTGATTGTTTATACCTGAAAAAAAAATTCTGTTTTCCTCAAAAAAATTTACGTTTAGTTTGTGCTACATTTTTTATTTTTAGTAGGAAAAATGAAATACATACTACAGTAAATAGAGGGGGGAAAAATTCCTGTAATTTTCAGTATTGAATAATGAGCTTACATTTTGTCCTTTCTTGTAGATAATTTAAATTCTTTCTATTACAGCTTCGACTTATTGTGAAGCAATGACAAACTACATTTTAGAAAATTTTAAATTCCTTTTAAATTAAATATGTGGTTTAAATACTTTTTGAGAAGGATTTGGGTGAAAGTTAAATATGAACTGCTTAAGAAATTTTCTAAAATTAAAATTTTTTTTATTGAAATGCATAAATGCCAACTGCTCCGGACACGCCAAAATAATTTAAAAAACGGTAAATGACTACAAAGTAAATTTCGCAAATATTTGACTGTTTTTGCTTGCTTTCAAAAGGTATAGCATAACATAAGTACTATAAAGTGGTGAATTACGAATTGTTTGGAAATAATGATGCATAAAAATCTGTTAAATTGAATTTATTAAACCAAGAATCGCAATTGGTAAACTACCACTTTAAAATATATATCTGCTCTCCAGAGCAAGTTGGCATCTCTGGAAATGTATCAAAGAGTTAAAGATATTAATTATATTTATTTAAAACTATGCATTATTCTTTAAATAACGATTTTATAATTAACATTTGGTGCTTGCCGAAACGGTCGTAAAATAACAGCAGAATAGAAAAGGCTATTTATTATTATTTAATTCTTTTATTATTTATCGTGATTCATACCTGCCATCTCTTCCGGATTTTCCGGAAGATTTTATTTTCATATTTAAAGTGGTAGTAAATATACACTATTTTTTTTTTTTATAAACTTAATTTTTAAATGATTTTGATCACCACTATTCTTACAAAAATTAAGCACATATATTAATATGCGTTACTATCATGGTTGCCAACTGAAGTTTTTTTCAAATACAACGTATTTGTTTGCTTAAAATTGAAGTTTTAATACCACTGGGAAAAATTATAATGGAAAGGATTAAAAGTTGGCAGGTATGTGAATGTATTCTTGAATATTAAGTATTTTTAATTTAACTTGAATTCTGTGTTGCTTAAACAGGCGATCGCAACGCTCTAATAATGGGGGGGAGGCTTTCGAAAATTGTCAACCGTCAACTATAAAAAGGTACCCTACTATAAAATCGAGTTAACGTGTGTTATATACTAGTGATTTGTAGTGGTAGATACGTTACAGTACTCCCCCACCAGAATTATATCTGTAATAGAATTCGATGAACTTGCGGCGGCACCGCCAAATGGACAGTAACGCTTAAGATAAGACCGCCATTTGGCGGAGGACTTGACTGTGGCAACCCTGGTATGCAGGGAGAAAAACATTTCTTCCCTCACAGTCTGCATTACATATGGCTTAGTGAATGTCGCTGGCGATGTGCCGTACTCTTCCATTTTTGTGTCTATTACTAATTATTAAATTATTATTATTTTTCTTTAAATATTAAATTAAACTTAAATATTATGGCTAGCTGGTGATTTCACATTATTTTATTTAAAACTTATTTTCTTCTTTTTGGGCACGTTGTACCCCACGTGCCTCAAACTAATACCACTAGTTTATTCATTGCTGTTTTGTGAGAAGCCGGGAGAGCTGTATTAAGATCACCGTACTTTTTGAGTGCTGAAATTGAGAGATTTATTAACTTCACGGTCGTAGTCGCTCCCGTGTTGCTGTTAGCAGTCGAGTGTAGGCAAGCCGACGTTGTGTGTGATCGAGACGAGACTGAGTAGCAACAGTGCGAGGAGGTGGATAGTGTCGCAGTCACAAGTAGCCAAGTCAACTGTTCAATGTGGTCCATCCATCGAAATAGGCATGTTCAAATCGCAGTGAGCGTGTTTGCCAAGATAGGCGTGTTTACATCACGTCCGGGTCACCAATGAGGGGAGAGTAGTTACAGACCATTTCAACCGTCATCTATGAAAAGGTACCCCACCAAAGCGAGTTAATATGTCTTATATACTAGTGAATTGTAGTTGTAGTGGTAGATACGCTACAATACGATCTGGCGAGAAGACAGATTCAATGCCTTCGGCCCTTTTCTCTTCTCCTCTTTTCAGTTGTAGAGGAATTTACTAAGATATTTTTCTTTTTCTTAATATTTTTCATTAATAAAACTATTTTTTATAAATTTCCATGGTGCTTTCTTTTAGAACTATGTCTAATGTAGTTTTCAGTACCATATAGTTTTCCAACTTAAAAGAATTTAATCTATATAAAAATCAAATTTTTTATCGGCTGTAGAACTCTAAATAATCTAGCTTCTTTTGGCGAAACCACCTGCACTTAAAAAAAAAAGTTCATTAACAGCTCTGAACATACTAGCAAAAAAAAAAAGAAGAAAAAATTAATTATTGTAAAAATATTACTGCAAAAAATAAAATATTTAAAATTTTGAATTTGTTCATGTTGTATGCATATTGTCAGGACTTACAAGAATAAAATGTAACGAGGCATGGAAAATAATGAAATGAGGAAAGCACGCAATGACAATATCAAAAAAACGTCACGCGTGAATTTTATTTCAAAACGCAACGAGACTGGTGTTTGTTTCGAAGAGATTGTAAATTGTTTTTGGATGTTCATCATTTGGTTTAAAAAATAAATATGTTTTTTAATTACCTCTCTATTTCCCATTGCACTAAAGCAAGTCTTGAAATAAGCTATAGACAATCGCAATGATCAAATGCGCCATCGGGGGAAAAGACCGGTTCCATGCCTTGGAATGTACTACGAAATTTTTCCTTTTCTTGATATTTTCGTTTTTAATGAATAAAAATTGTTTTTTTTAAATTTCCATGATGCTTTCTTTTAGAGCTACGTTTAATGAAGTTTTCAATTCCATATAGTTTTCCAACTTGAAAGATTTTAATCTAAATGAAAATTGTCATATGATATTTCATCTATATGAAAATTTTGATTAATCAAGACAGAGACTAACGTACTTTCTTCTTCTATGACTCTCCACACGCTATAGCGTTAGGCTATATGCTATATGCGTTTGCATGCTTTCACCATTATAATGGTGAAAGCGTGCAAAGTGTTGTCATAGATAAAGAGTTCTGCTCTACGCCATCTGTAGCCAATTTCGATCGCCAATAGAAAGCACCAAGATAAAAAAAAGTGTCTCGTGAATGAATGCAGAAACGTGTATAATTTGTTATCACACAGAACAGGCAGGTTGTTTAAAAAGAGTTTGTATGTAGAATGTTTTTCTTTCTCCCCCCCCCCTTTTTTTAAAAAAAAAAATCCTGAATCTAATGTAACAACCTTAGGAGATTGCCTGCACTTTTCGAGTTTTACAAAAGCGCGGGAAACCTTGGCCCTCCTATTATCCCTAATTACGGCGGTCTAAGAGTTTGCAAACGAAATTATAAAAAACAGTGGGAGGATAAAATTGTTTAACGCTCGTTACCTACATTGTTTTTACGATTAGCGGTTCCCTTTTATACTTCACTCCCCCAGTTACAAAAAGAGTTCCTTAAAAGATCTTGATGATGTCTTCTTTTCGAGCTCACATGAACAGGTTAAATATTGCATACTATTTTTACTTCTGTCCCTACTAAAAAAAACAAAATTAAAAATTTCATGAAATTGTTAAGAAAAAAAAGTCGTAGACGTTGATCGATTTTGCTCCTTTTAGAAATAAGGCACCTATGGCAACCGCCATACTTGATACTAGATACGGGTAAATGAAAGCGTATTATTTCAAATCTTTTATCACCTCAAGATCTTCAAGCCTTCCTTAATCAGTGTATGGAAGGGTTCAAATACTTCCTTTCCCTCCCTCNGATTCAGAAAACCGGAAAAATCAGTTTTCCGGAATAGCGATGGTCCCGACCATTCCGGATAATCGGTTCCCAACTGTACTAGATACGGGTAAATGAAAACGTATTATTTCAAAACTTTTATCACCTCAAGATCTTCAAGCCTTCCTTAATCAGTGTATGGAAGGGTTCAAATACTTCCTTTCCCTCCCTCATCTTGATGGACCTCAGGATTACCGTCTACTAATCAGAACCTAGAACCTCCTGGAATGTTCTTCATTCCAGAATGTTCGCAACGAACTCTCTGCATAGGGACCGAGGGTGTGCGGTATTGGTCCTCGTTAAACTGTTCTACCGTGAAGTGCTCGACTTCTCGTGCAGGTCGTTGGGCTATCGGAGCGGGGGTGCCATCCCCTCAGGGGGAATCAAAATTTTGAATCAAAATTTGCAGGGAATCAAAGTTTTGATGGCGTGTCTTCGGATTATCCTCAGGGATGTTTCCCAGACCGTTGCCAATAGCCCATTGTGCAGCTCTAGTGTGGCGTAAATGAACAACAACAACATCGAACTCTTCAAAATTCTTCCGAGCCACAAACAGTTTCTGACTTTTTACTGAATTTTCTGCTAGCTATCTAGCCTCAATCATAAGCTTCATTAAGAGAAACACAGAGCTATAACCTAACCCAAAGAGCTCGTCGCACTTTTCTACAATTGTAGTTCGGCCAAATATTACTATTTTCTTACTTTTATTTGTGTGTTTTTTCTTATCCCATTTTTCTTCCCTTACTTATATTACAAGCTTTATCCATAGTAAAACACTACCTATTTCATTGTTGAACGATACTTAGTTCGTGCTATAAACAAAAAACTCCAGTTGGGAGATAGTTAAATTAATCTCTTCTCTTATTAGTGTAGAAAAAACAATTCAAGTTGAGTGTATGATAAAATGTTTGCAAACAGAAACATAGTTGCAGTGTTTGTGGTTAACAGCAGTGATTACAAAACTGTAAATGAGCAACCTGTTGTTCAAACTATAGAAGAACCCAATTCAAAGAGTGATAAATCCTTTTCTCAGAAAAGGAGATCAAAGCAACCCTCTGATATTCATAGTGGAGAAAAGCCATATTCATGCAGTGTGTGTGATAAATCATTCTCACATAAATCTTCTTTGACTAATCATTCTATCCTTCACACTAATAAGAAGCCTTATTCATGTAGTGTATGTCATAAAACATTTGCTGGTTTAAATGGTTTAAAGAATCACTCTATTGTCCACAGTGATAAAAAGCCATATTCATGCAGTGTATGTGATAAATCTTTCTCAAGGAAATCTGATTTGAATAGTCATTTAATTTTCATTCACAGTGATGAGAAGCCTTATTCATGTAGTTTATGTGATAAAACATTCAAAACTAAATCTTATTTAAATAGGCACTCTCTAGACCATGCTGAGGAGAAGCGTTATTCATGCAATTTATGTGATAAAGCGTACAACCAATTAAGTTCGTTAAAGATACATACTTTTGTTCATACTGGTGAGAGCCCTTTTTCATGTAGTGTGTGTAATAAATCATTTGCTAAGAAATTTAGTTTAGTCAGACACTCTCGCATTCATACTAGAGCCAAACCTTCCCTCAGTAAGTGTGCTAAAACATTACAAGTGAAACATAATTTAAATAGACATCTTGTTAATGGCGATGATTGGCCTTTTTCATGCAAAATGTGTAATATAGGCTTTGCTACAAAGCGTAGTTTAAATGAGCACATAATTGATCATCATTTCATAAAGTGTGAATGATAAATCTTATACCCATTAAAATAAGTGCTAAAATAATCCAATTTATATTGTAATTGCTCCAGTGTGTATAATAAAATATTCTTACCTTTAACTCGTTAAAATGCATTCTTTTATTATTCATGCCACAAATATGAATTATAAGTTCAATGAAGCGTAGTTTAAATGAGCACATAATTGATCATCATTTTATAAAGTGTGAATGATAAATCTTAAACCGATTAAAATAAGTGCTAAAATAATCCTATTTATATTGTAATTGCTGCAGTGTGTATAATAAAATATTCTTACCTTTAAGTCGTTTAAATAAGCATTCTTTTTTATTCATGCCACAAATATGAATTATAAGTTCAATTAAACAGAATTTTTAAGAAGTTAATTTAAACTTGTATTAAAGTGGTACTATTTAGTGTCATAAAATTTCCTATAATTAGATTTGTAATGCTAAAATATGAAATCTTTGTGCAGAATGGACAATTATAGTCTTTTTTTATATAATCTTTTTTCATTCAGAATCCCTCAAAACTTCCAGAAATTACTAGTATACTCTTCTGTGAATGCTAATTATTAAGTTATTTTTAAGCAAAAAACACTTTTGTTTTCCTCTGAAACGTGATTATTCACGAACTGACGTCACCTGTGCCCGTCTACTACTCCTTTACAATTGCTGTACTGTGGAAGTCTTTACATTACGGCTAGTAAATAACAGTGTGTAAATAAAGATATGTAGAATAAATTCTGCTCTAATGTAGCTGAATAAAAATGTGGGTTTAATATAATGTATTTATATAGTATTTTAATGGTATCTACTGAAACATTGTTAATAGTTGATGAAATTTTCTAGTTCTGAATATTTAAGATTATTTAGATCAGTAAAAGAAGGGTTAGAATGAGTTATTGATGCCTGATATTGCTTATTAAAATGATGCATGAAAAATAAAAAATATTTTTGTTCTTTCATATTTTTTTAACCATGTTAATCTTAATTTTAAAGTATATTTAAAATTCAATTTGAAGATTTATGAAATAAATATTAAATCAAATTATTATATAGAATAATTTTAGATTTCTCAGAGTTCATTCTAGGTGAGGAGGGCCGTCCTGTTTGCCTTTTGAATAAAAAATTCCGCCCCGCATGCCCTAAGAATCTGAATACGCGTCCCGATGTATTAAAGTGTGAGAACGGCCTATTTGCGCAGATTTTTTGGTCAATAATCCGCATGGTTTTCTGATTGTATTTTCGGTAGAAATAAATTGTGTTTTGGCTGTAATTAATAATTTTTTCGACCATTCCGCTATGATTTTCAAATTCTGATGTGTTTAATATGTCATTACGACCAGCGCATTTTGAACTTGATCTTTTGAAACGTTCGAATCGTGGCGATTACATCATAAGTTCACGTCATTTGATAATAATTCTTTCAGAAGCTATTATCATTTCTTCGGCCCTTTTCACATGTTTTTTTTACAAAATTCGATATTCTTAATACAATGTTATTGCGTCTACAGTTGGAGTTATCTCTATTTGATAGGTTCGATTTGTGATGATTTTATGGTAACTTCACTACGCTCGAAATTTTACTTCGTTGCCTTTTGATGCGTTCGATTCGTGATGATTCTATCACAATTTTTCATTGTTTTATGATAGGTTTTTTGTCAGTTAGGTATCATTTTATCAACATGGTTTCAAAAAATTCGATATTTATAATGCAATATGATGTTCAAATAAGAGTTATCACTATTTAATGCTCTCGATTTTTGCCGATTCCTTCATATTTTTTCATTTTTTAATGATTAATTTTGTTTTCGGCATTTTTAACTTGGATTTTCAAGTTCGATATTTTTAATACAATGTTGTCACGAGGTACAAATTTGCATTATCACTATTTGATACAAGATTCTATCATGATTTCATGACATTTTTGATAGATTTTTCGGCAGTTATTTATCATTTTATCAGCCCCTTTCAGGTGATATTTCAAATTCCAATATTATTAATAGGATGCTATTACGACGTTCGATTCCTGAGAATTCCATTATAATTTTCCATCATCGGATGATATTAGGTCATTCGTATCGAGTCTATAATACTAGATAATGTATCGGCACCAACTGCGAAAAACCTAATAGTTATTTTGGCAGTTATTTATATTTTTATCAGCCTTTTGCATATGATTTTTATATTTTTTCTCTGATATTTTTGTAAGATTTTATGGGACATTTAAATTTCGAATTTTAGTTATCACTTTTTAAGTCGTTCGATTTTCGACGATTCCATTTTAATTGACGTCGTTTCTTGCAATTTCTACTTGTTTTTTCTTATTCTGATAATTTTTATTCAATGTTATTAGAACAAGCTAGTTTTTTAATTTAGGGAGTCACTTTTTGGCATTCTCAATTTAGATTGAAGTATTGTAAATCAACATTGTTTAAGGATATTTTTTTTTGGCAGCTTTTTCATATTTTAGTAATCAGTTTTTCACGTGCTTGATTCGCAACGATTCTATCATAGTCCATATTAATTTCCAGCAGTTATTTCAATTACTTCCCAATAATTTTTAGAAATTAAAAAGCAAAACGTTTTTTCATTTATTTTGACATTGTTTTCAAAATCCTGATATGCTTAATAAATTATTATTACGACATGCAACATTTTCAAAATTCAGAAATCACTCTTATTTTAAAACTAATTTATAGAATGTGCAAATTTAGCTGATGAATTATTTTTAATTGAAATTTTATGTTTAAAAAAAATAAGATTTTTTTTAATGATAAAATTAAAAACTTTTTATATTTTGGATGTCTGAAAAGTGATGCAAATATTTATGAAGTGTGTGATAGGTGCCCTTTTTGTAGGGTGAAATAGTGCCCTGCTTTTTTTAAGATCTAGAATGAACACTTAAAATGCACTCTAGAATCTAGAATGAACACTTAAAATGCACTCTAGACATAAAACCTCTTTTTATTTATTTATTCTAGCTTGAATTTAATGCAGGAGTTTATCTTCTGCATAGCAGAAGCATTTAAAAAAGAAAAAAAAAAATTTGAGCTTTGCAAAGCTTTTAAATGAGTTTTTTAAAAACAAGACAATGAAAAGAAAAAACGAAATTAATGTATTCAAATATATTTTATTAACCTTATTTTAATGGCATTAATCTATGTCAAGCCAATTAATATGTTGTTAATTATAATGTTGAAAATTTATTTGGTTTTACATTACAGAAACAGGAATTAAATTTTATAAATACAAATAAAAATAATTTTTCGCTAAAGCAAAATTCCTACTTACTCAAAAAAGAAAAATGTCAAGAAAAGTTATCAACATTACTGTCTATTTAATAAATAGTAAAAAATGGGCATTAGAATTTCTTTTTATTTTGCATTAAAAAATTATATTAGGATTTATTCAAATTTTTTTTTAAAATTTCTTTAGCTTTAGTGAAATAAAAACGTCTAGCTTAATGATATTTGCTGAAATTTTTTGCTAAATTGCATTACTTTAAATGAAATTTTAAGTATAAGCACATAGACTGTGGCGATGATGATGGGCTGATATAATTCAGCAGACTAAATTCTTGAATCTCTCGTTTTTGACAATTCCGAATATTTCGCCTATTTTAATGAAACTTTTTGTTATTAAAAATGTATAATGCATTAACTTTGCTATTTAAGAACTCTGCTTTTCAAGGACTGAGAAATAGCTTGCAGAAATAAGGAGAAAAGTTAACAATAATCGTACTTTGTAAATACTAATATTGCAGAAAGAATTAAAATTTATAAATTTAAAAATAAAAATAGTTTTCTAGCCATAGCAAAATTCCTATTTACTCAAAGAATAGTATTGAGAATAGATAGCAGTAATGTGCATTTAATATAGTAAAAAAAAAAAAGAAGAAATAAACTGCATCAGGAAATATTTATTTAAAAAGAAAATAATTCAACTCTTGCATAAGATAAGTAAAATTAAATTACATTCTCTGAATTTTTGCATAGTGGCACATAGTGTAAGTATGATGAAAAGATATTTTTCAATGGTACATATTTATGAAAACATTGATTTTTATGATGCAATATCGAATAATAAGATCATCTCCCCATATCTAAATGTATACTATTTCTATCCAATCTGGGACTGATTTTAATTTTAAGTAATTAGGCTGTAATTGAGCATTATTTTAACTTAAAAATAAGTGGAATAGAATAATATTTTCTATAATTGATTGCCACTGATTTCAGCCGAAAAGAAATGCTGATTCGCTGTGAAGCTCTCCATAAATATTTTTTCAACTATTGTAGTAATAAATAAACAGTTTGAAGTTTTAAAAATCTTTCTTCCATTTTGCACTAAGCCAAAAATTTAACTCCAAAAAATTTTACTATTAATATTCAAAGGATGTTCATATGATTTAAGTGAGATTAAAACTGAAAGAGCATTGGAAAAGCCTTAGCGGATGAAAGCAGCAAGCTTTCATTCAGCACATGGCACATCATAACTAATCAGGGAACATTTTCGATTGTATCACCTACGGAGGCCTTTTTGTGCAATTTAAATGTTTAATAATTAAATGAACGTTTGGGGGGAAAATAATCAGATTCAGGTGAGAATTTCCAATAAATTAGGATTGAAAATAAATAAATTTAAGAGATGCTGTAACTGTCCATTAGAATAATTTACTGACAAGGTGAAGATTGTGTTAAAAATATATTCTCACATAATATTCTAACAGCTTCTATCCAGGGCCTGATTATCGCCTAGGAGCCTCAAAATTAGTAAAAAGTCCAATATGTTACTATTTTTTTTAAATGCCGAAAGAAACAGCTTTTCTCAAAAGATGTAGTTTTTTATTTCAAATTTTCTTTATATCATGATGCAACCTAACTCATGTAAACATTGCACTAATCAAATTCGAAACTACAGCTGAATTTTTATTTGGTGTAATTTTTATATAAACTGAACGAATATAACAAGAATGCACCATCGCAAAGTCTCTTATATGCATAGCGTTTTTAAAAAGTGTTTAAAGGTGCTTATTTTCGATTTTTAAAAGCCATTAAAGGTGCTTGTTTCATTGGGTGTTTTTAAAAAGTGCTTAATTTTCCCTTTTCAATAATTTTCCCTTAGCATGTTGATTTCCGCTACGAATTATGCAAAAAGACAGTTCACATTGTTCTATTCAGCGTTTTCACAATTAATTCAACCCCAATCTATTTCGGTGTATTGTCAGTCCGTAGCGTATGAAAATGCCATTCGTTTGACATGTTTCAAAATTTCATTGTTAAAAACAAGCCAAAAGGTTTTTTTTTTTTTTTTTGGACATGATGGTTAAATCAAGATAAAACCGTCAATTGTCAACAACTTTCCAACCCTGCCTAATTATATTTCTTAAAGTGCTTAAAAATATTTTTTGAGTGCTTGAAAAGTGATTAAAGGGTGCTTATTTTTGTTAATTAATTTGGCTACGCACCCTGATAAATGATTGGTGTCCACAAGAGCGATAATCTTATTCCTAACAAATATATAAAATTGTAGACGAGAGCTACAATCTTAGATGCTGAAAACTGTTTGATTTACACGTTTTTACAATATGAAAATTTTGATTTTCTTGATAGTTTTGAAATGATGAAAACTACTTATCAATCTGGTTGCGCAAAAAGAAAGAAAAAAGCTCTAAGTGATGAAGCCAACAAAAAAGTGAGAAATTCTTAAACAAAATATTTTTCTGTTGATAAACCGAAGCAAAATATTGAGTTGATAAATAAATTCATGAGAACAATTGGTTTAAAAGAAAGAAAATTATCCAACCAGCATTTTTATAGGAAGAAACAGAACAACGAATCTGTTTCTAGAGATTGGCTGATATCACCCAGAAAAAATGCTTTATTATACAAATTGTTAAGTAAATCTGAACAAGCACTATGTAGCAAAGAATTTGACTGGAAAAATGTGTGTCTCAAAGATTAAAAGTGCAGGAGTGTTCAAAAATCCACAGGGATGCTGTTAATGGTTATTCAGGAAGGCTGAGAGTTTCATCTCGCATTGAAAATTTACTGGTACAAGATTATCAGTCAGAATGCAAATACTGCCAAGATGTATTAAGAAGAAACATGTATTAAGAAGAAACAACAAACATTCAATATTAAACACATATGTTTAATATTGAATGAATGATATTCAATGACATCATAATCTAATGTCATGGATCTAATGTCATTGGAATGAATCTGCTTCCCGAGTGATAGACACTGTCTATTCCTATATCCCAAAAGAGGCAGGTCACATCATTTGCGATCTCTATATCAACACTTGTTAATGCACTTTGTTAAAACGTGTTTTTCTAAACCTAGCTATTCTGTCCGATAAGACCGTTGCACAACGCTACTTTTCTGACTGTCGTGTATATTGGTAATTCAAAAAATTTTATGCTGTGCATATTTCAAATAATTGATCCTTCCTTCAATACTTCTGAAACAAATTTATCCGATAAACTGTTTCAACTACGACTCGTGGTATCTTCTTTGACAAAAATCTCATTAGATCATCTCGCATATATTACAAACCTTAGTATTTAATTTTGTTATTTTATGTGCAATCCATTTCATCTTTCTTTTCATTATTACATTTTTTCCCGGTTCATTTTAATTATTGTTAATAAAACATATATATGACATGTTGTCTTAAATACTATATTAAAATATATATTGATTTAATGGATTGAAAAAAAAAAGTATTTCATGAAACTTAATACAGTAGGGAACGGATTATCCGGAACGATCGGGACCATCGTTATTCCGGATAACTGATTTTTCCGGTTTTCTGAATTGCTACAAAAAGCCGTTTTTTTATTGTCAAACTCTTAAAAAGAAGAAAAAACAATGAAGTAATACACTAATGATTATTTCCAAAATGATGGTAAGGTAAACATCTTTAAAAAAAGAAAGAAAAATCCTGAAATCTTCTGAGGAAAAAAAAAGCTTTTTTTTTTAAATGGCAGAAAAGTTTATCGAATTTTGTCCCGGTTTTTTGGTTTTCTGATTTCTGGATAACGGGTTCTGTACTGTACTAATATTATATACATCTAAATAATGATACAAAAAATACTGAAATTTAGCATTTTTAGATTGCAGACAAGACAGGGGTAAAATCACTCTTTAATTATGAAACATATATATATATACACACACAAACAAAATAATGTATAGTGTTTGTTACAAATATATTAAATATTTGAAGTTTGTCTCCTTTTGTTAACTGCTATTATTTTTCACAAAGCCAAACAGGAACCCATATATAAAAAGTTGCATTGATATTTTAACTTCTGGAAAATGTTCAATCAAAGTTAGCCATTTTTTTACTAAGTTTGTACTATCGATTGGACACACACAGATATATTATGTCATTTGCTCCTTGTCATCCTTCCTTATTCAAAGCTCCTTAATGATAGCATCTTTTGCCTGCATTATTATACGCATCATGTGAAAGTCTTTCCTTGCTTCATAATCTGACATCTCATGTTGTACAATTGTACACTCCACCTCTCTGAGATTCTTAAGTAAATCACCTGTTTCTTTTTCTAGGTGAGTAGCCTGAGAAAGTAAGTAAATCATTAAAAGCAATTGTTATAAAAAATTAACAAGCATTGTTAAAATTATGTATTCGAAAGTTGTATCAATCATTTATATGTGATTGATTATGAAGAAAATTTGATTTCTCTAAGTAATTGGGGAGAAAAACTACTATTTAAATTGCTGTTGATCTTTTTAAATATTTTTAAAAGATAATCACTTGTAAAAAAATAATTAATAGCCTTTGGTCACTATTGCAATGCAATTTCCAGTAGAATTGAATTGTATTTTCAATTTGTATGGAAATACCTATTACTATTGAAACCTTTAGTAATAAAAATATTAACAGGTATTGAACTTCTTTGATATAGATTAATGTTAATAATATTCCATTTTTATTATGACCTGCTGATGAAAATTATTAATTTGCACAATTTTACATCATACTGTGACTGCTGGTTTTGAAACTGGAGTTTCTGTAAAACTATTTATTTATTTATATATTTTTTTTTAAGTGAAAGTGGACTGAACCCATTCTCCAAATGCCGCCATCAGACCCACCTCGCTAACCTAGACCCCGGATGTTAAAAGAACGAGACGGTGGCCAAAGCTAGCCTGTCGCCTTGCTAGAGGAGTATACTGGCTAAAGAGAAGCTGCAATGGACTGAAAAAGGTGTCATGCTTTGCTAGTGGTCACATGTGCCATTTAAGTGTTAAAAGGTGGCATGCATTGCCACATGTGCCTTCAAGTGTTAAAAGAATTAATTCAATTCTCACTCATATCTGGAGCTATTATGCACATTATTCATTTTAGTGACAAAGCATCATTCCAATAGAATTTTATGTTAAGGAAAATTATTCATTTTAAACACCCCTTTACCTTCAATTTTCACTACCTGCATTATGCAAATTTTTATGTAAGTTAGCATCACAAAATGCCCTGTAAAACCATGGCAAGTAAAATAATCGTACATAACTGTTCTCACAGTAGATTGTTTTCACCTGTGAGAATTTCATGTATTAAAAAAAGGATTTTAATAAATTTATAATATGTTTTAACTTCATGTTTAAATAAAAGCCATTATAATGTGAATCTGAACTTATAACAACGATTAAAAATTTCTTATTTTACACAAGAGCAAAAATGAAAATCTTCTGCATGGCGAATTGACCAATCGATTTCATTATGAAAAGATTTCAGTAACATAGATAGTTCAAAATTCACTTATCATATTTTCTTTCATATTAAGCTTTAATGAAAAACCTTTAAAAAAATTCTAATAAAAGAGGAATATTCTTATTAAAAGTATTGATATCTTCTCGAGTCCCGATTTAAAGTCCCGGAACTTTGCATTGGTGCGTTCCGGCTTCGCTACACCCTTGCATCTAACACACACCGCAAACTGTTATGTTGTAAAGTGATAAATAGGCTTTGCTTAGTACATAGTTCTTCTTTTATGAGAAAATAATTATTGCTTTTATGAAAAAAAGATAATCTTTCAATTTGTTGAATTAGTTTTAATAAACTTTTTTGCATTAAAAAATTTGCGAGATCAAGTCTTACCAAGCTACTAAGATGATCCATATATTTTGAATGCATTTCATTTTCAAGCAAAACATTTGAAGGCTCTACGGTTTTTTGCTCTAGAGTTTTCAATAATGCAGACTTCTGCTGAAGAGAATTAAGCTGTCGAATCTAAAAATAAATAAATTAAAAACATAAAAAAAGCATCTGGGATTCGACCAAATTTATCCAAAATTACGTATTATAACAGAAATCTATTTAATCATCAGGGTATTCATCAGGATTAGAAAAATGTGATGGTGTTCATAAAGATAAGACAAACCCCAATCGTTTATTACATTTGTGGCCACCAATATTACCAGACCTCTGAACTTTAAAAGGGTTTCTTAAAAAGAATAAAGCAACCTGACACTTGGCAATACATTTGGCTAATTGACGTCAAGGTTATGAGAAACAATACTGCTTAAATGAAAGGAATCACTGACTGCTCTTCCTGAATTAAATACTGAATACTATTACCTTTTTTTTCTAAATCAATGTGAGTTTTTTCTAAATCAATGTTCTAAACCAAAATGAGAACCCTGCAATCATAATCATATTTCTTTCATGCTTACCCTTAATATTGCATTGATGTAAAAAGTGCGTTTCCAAAGAGAATGGTTGCGTATATAAATAATATATAGATATATAATCACAGCAAGACCTATAACCAAATATAATTGAGCATCACTGGCGTCAATAATAGTACAGCGATTTTGTATTACAGAGAACCACCTTTCAAAAGCTCAACTATAAACAAAACAGGTAGTTTTAAATAACTTTAGAAATATTAATTCATTGACGTAACCCTTAAATGAGGTCAAATTAATCATTGAGCTTGTCTTACATAATGAATCAAAAACAATTAACATTTAAGAAGATGAAATTAACTTTTTTTTTACCAAACAGAGTTGTAAGCTAACAAACATCACTGAAATTATCTTTTAAACATATGGATGGGGAAAAAGCAATCCTCTACAGTTTAATTTAACAATGGCTGATGCTAAAACAATTGGAGAAAAAAAACAAATTTTTTTTAGCGTCTTTCCTAAACGATCTAACAAAAATTCGATTGATTTTTAGGACCGAGAGCTAGAATTACCACTAGTCGCTATTCTAATTTCAGGATGATAGAACAAACGGTTCTTGAGTTTTAAGAATGACGCACTGACTAGCATATATTGTAATTAGAAAAGTGGAAGCCAACACTAGAAAAAACATTATATTACTCTAAGTCCATTATCTACATCACTACAAAATATTGCGCTTTTGCAATGGTAGTGCAGAATTAAAACAAACTGAAGCTGGCATAAATGGATTAAATTTTGAACAGTTTTCAATGTACTAATTTAAATAAGGTAGAGAAAATATTTTACTTGCTGTGATGTCACAATTGAAAACAAGGATTTGGAAATGTCTTCATAAATTTTCTGGCTTTCTTTTTCCGTCGCATTCAAATTCATTTTTATGTCTGCGTTTTGTTGCAAGATATTCTCACAAGATTTCAGTACAGAATCACACCAAGTCTTTCCCAGCTGTCCACTCATAAACAGTGCTTGGTAAGGCAATGGCAGTAAATGTAGTTTCAGTTCTTTGTCTTTAATGGTATTTTCGACCATGGTATTCAACTTTTCTTCCAGTCTGCAATGAGGGGAAAAAATGTGCGATTTATATACTGGATATTTTATAATCACTATGTAAGTTTTCTTGTCAACGAGATATCAGAAACCTTCCAAACACAGCAGTGGGCGCTGCAGAGTATTTTTCATCTTAGGTTTAGGGATGAATCGAGAAAATAGATTAAAAAAATTATTGAGAGGAAGTAAGAAAAATATTTAAAAAGCACAAAAGTATTTAAAAAAAACTAGTTTTTTTATTTATTTGTGCTACAGATTATTTTTCATCATAGATTAAGGAATGAGTTGGGAAAATGGCTAAAAAATTACTGAGAGAAAGTAAGAAAAAAATTTAAAAAGCACAAAAATGTAAAAAAAAAAAAAAAAGTTATTTATTTATTAACTTTATGAAAGATAAGGGACAGGTTTTATTTTTTGAAATCTAACTCAAAAAAATATATATATGTATATATTTAAAAAAATTAGTAATTTTTACTCAAAAGATATATTTCTGCTGCATTTTTGCGAATATGAGAATAGAATAATGTGTCATAACACAATAAGAAATAATATGAGAATACCAAAACACAACATTAAAAAAATTTGAATTTTTAAAGATTGTACTGCAAATTAAGTTAATAAATTCTATGACCAGGCTTTTTAATAATAGGGTCAAAAACCTATACCAGTTTAGACTCACAAATTAATAATAAATAAGCAAGGGAAAAATACAATTGAAATCTAACAATTTGTTACAAAAAAAGGGGATGAAAAACACAAAACGAATTCGATTGTCTAATGTAACTTGAAAGGCAAATTCATCTAAATCCGAAGGCTGGAGGGATTCGAATTTTTTATTCTAAAGTGAAGACTAGGAAATTTTCAGCTGTCTTTCAATTTTTGCAGGTTGCATACGAACCATGTGTGAGGAAATATGAGTCAATGAATGCAAATCAGTTTTAAAAAAATTACCAAAGAAAAAGATTTCTTGCGTCATTCAGTTCATTTGCTCAACCTGTAAAAATTCTCATGCATTTGCCCAGCAATTTTGGAAAATTATTTTTAAAAACAGATGCTTCTATAAAGCCTTATGAGAATACATGTCCCTTAGTGTCTGCACTTGATAAGTGTGAATGAGGACATTAAAACCTGTTTTTATTGTCCGTAGGAAAAAAGGTAGCAGCTGTAAAACATATTAGAAAAATCTTCAAGTTTCATAAGACAATCAAACATGTTTTTAGTTTCCTGTCTTCTGCAGAGATTCGTTGGATTTCGAAAATATTCTTTTTTTCTACGCTTAAATCTTAACTTACATTTTCTATAATCTGTACTGTTTTTAGTTCATTTTTGACAATTCTAAAAGTACATATTAAAGGCAGTGATTATGGAACACTGTTGTATATCTTCCTCCAGGGGAGTTTCGGAAACTGGAATTATGCTAAAGTGACTTTTCTCCTATTGTTTATTTTGGATTTCCTTTTTATCAGTGTATCATAATTATTTAAAACGAAATTCGATTTAATAACATTGAATACGAAATAATATTAGGGTTCAGCACAGTATATGGACACTTCTACAATGAATCTGTAAATATCTTTTAAAATGCTCCTGTTCTTGCAAATTTTTAAATATATCCATCCCTGTGCAAATTTTTAGCTGCCAGTTTTCTAAATGTTAAAATGGCATCCCATGAAAAAAAATTCTACTAGAATTTACCAAAGTAAATTCATTACCCCTATTATAAATTTGTAAAAACCGTAAGAACTCTTAGACACTGAGACCTACCCATTCGCTTTTTTATTTCTCCCCTCTTTTTTTGAGTCCGTAATTTTAGTATTATTTTTCTTTATAGTTTATTTTATTTAAAGAAGTCTAGAATAATAAGCTAATTGTTTTCTTTCTTTAAAACAAAAATCGAATGTTTAAAAATACACAAGTTTACCTGTAAAGAAAATTCTATTTGCTTACTTATAAAAAGTATGAAATCTGACAAATAATGCATTTATCTTTTTTTTTATATATATATATCTATACATTTCCAGAATTTTGGGTAGTTTTTAAAATTATTTTAAGGGCATCCAACTGTCCCGCAAAACTGCTACAGTGGTAATTCACTTATCATCAAGACATCTGGTCAGGCATGCCATGAGGCGACTAAAAAATTTAAAAAGTGGTAATTCATAAAAAGCAAATATCTATTAAATGTAATTAAAATTTGTAACTTTTTCTAGCACATTCTTGCAGTTTACTACTGAAGGTCGTTGCAAAGAAATATTTCGGTTTAAATATGAATAATTTACTATGTAAGTGAAAGCAGGGATAACCTTGTTGGTACGACATTGGGCTCGCATTCGTGAGAGTTCGAATCCCGTAGACGAAGAATCCCAGTGTATTAAATAGTGATTGGCGCACCTTAAATATATCAGGCTCACAAAATCCTTTAAGTTCCCATAACAAATCAAAACCTCTGGGGGTACTGAATTGGAGATAGATCGTTCTCTTGTTCAGGTCAAAATTACAATCTGTGCGTGTATGAATGGGTTCTCCCAGTAAAATGGGTTGTGACGTGTGTGTGGCTGAAGTCATATTCTTGGACATTGATGGCACTACTGAAAAACAAGAAACGCACCCTTTGCCTTGAAAATTCGCTTGGTTACTCTTAGCAGGCTTGCAGATATTGGCAAACGGCATTAGTAACAAAAACACAATGTAAGTCATGATGGTAGTTGTGATTCAATAATTAAGAAAAAATTGAATTGAGATTTTACTCTTTATATGTATTTGAGTTATTGAATATTTGTGGTGATCAGGAATGTTTACTCTTTTAAAGCATGAAATACATTTTATGACAACAATTTATAAACCTCTATAATCATTTTGAGGGACCTCTGGGCGCCCTGCATTTTTCGACACTCATCACTAAAAACGTACTTTTCTAAAGATAAATCGAAAATTGCCTTGATAAATCTCTTTAGTTAACACTTTGTAAAGCGCATTAATTCTGAAAAATAAATTAACCAAAAAGTAATATAAATATTCATAAAATGGGATTCTGAGTGAGGTTATGTAGAAACATTCCATAGTTTAGTTAGAATCTTATCATAAAATAATAACAAATTCATAAACATCACAAAAACTTTTCAATATAACTTTAGCTTAAAATAAGAGCTTTTTACTATATAATTTATAGTTTTCTTTTTCTATGTTCACTTTTTACATTCATACATATTTCTAGTTATTATCTTAAATGAATATAAACAAAAATTATACTTTCTAATAAAATCCATAAAGTCTGAACTCAAGAGAGTGACTTTGGCATTAAAGTGATCATTTCTCTGATTAATTTGATAATGTAATTGTCGAAGTTTTGATTCAAGCTCATCAATTTCATTTACGCTTCTTTTAGCCTCTTCCAACCTTTCAACTACAATGTAAAAAAAATAAAATATAAAATGAGTAAGAAATAATATTTCTCAAAAAAAAAGTAAGGGTTGATAATTTTCGGAAAAGTCAAAATATTAGATGTAAAAAAGGAAAAANAATTATGAATATAAGCTTGTAAAGTATCTCTCTGGCTGTCCCTTACAAACAAATAAAATAAACTGTGTTTTTAAGTTCCACCTTTGAAAATTTGATCTCCGGAAACTTCCGGATCACTGTTAATGAAAAATTCGGAAATCCGGATTTTTTCCGGAGCACAATCAGCCCTGCATTAGTAACAACAACACAATGTAAGCCATGATGGTCGTTGCGATTCAATAATTAAGTAAGAAAAAATTTAATTGAGATTTTACCACTTTTAACATTTTTACTCTTTATATGTATTTGAGCTATTGAATAATTGTGGTGATCAGGATTGTTTTCTTTTTCAACACATGAAATACATTTTATGACAAAAATTTATATACCACTATAATTTTGAGGGACCCCTGGATGCCATGCATTTTTGAACAGTCATGGCATACCTCATTACTTAAAACTAAAACGTAAAGATAAATCGGAAATTGCCTTAATAAATCTCTTTAGTTAACACTAACTTTGTAAAGCGCATTAACTCTGGAGAAAAAAAATTAAGCAAAAAGTAATAAAAAATATTCATAAAATGGGATTCTGAGGGAGGTTATGTAGAAACATTCCATAGTTTAGTTAAAATCTTATCATAAAATAATAACAAATTCATAAACATCACAAAAACTTTTCAATATAGCTTTAGCTTAAAATAAGAGCTTTTTACTATATAATTTATAGTTTTCTTTTTCTATGTTCACTTTTTACATTCATACATATTTCTAGTTATTATCTTAAATGAATATAAACAAAAATTATACTTTCTAATAAAATCCATAAAGTCTGAACTCAAGAGAGTGACTTTGGCATTAAAGTGATCATTTCTCTGATTAATTTGATAATGTAATTGTCGAAGTTTTGATTCAAGCTCATCAATTTCATTTACGCTTCTTTTAGCCTCTTCCAACCTTTCAACTACAATGTAAAAAAAATAAAATATAAAATGAGTAAGAAATAATATTTCTCAAAAAAAAAGTAAGGGTTGATAATTTTCGGAAAAGTCAAAATATTAGATGTAAAAAAGGAAAAAAAAAATTTTTGGATGAGTAAACTATCCTTAACTAACCTTTTTTATTAACAATTGTAACTGTTTTTATTAACAATTAAAACATAAATTGAATTACATAGCAAAAAATTCAATATAAATGAGATAAGATAAAATAATATAAGAAAAGGAAAAAATATTCACAAGTTAAAACATAAGTTTAAAATGGTTTGACTAAAATAATTTAGAGCAATAAAGATTAGATAAATAAAAGTTAGAAATTAACGTTAAATAAAATCAGTTATCAAAAAAAAATTTAAATCCATATGTTTGTTATGTGATGGCCTTGACATTTTGGTGATATGGTCATCACTCTATAGTTATCAATTGATTGATCCCTCGTTAGCTACCCAAGTTACCGATAGAATTTTATTGTGTACCGGGCCGTGGTAGCTCAGTGGTTAGAGTATCAGACTCCAGTCTAAAGAGGCCAGGGTTTGATTCTCGATTCCGCTAAGACACACCGAGTACATGTGACACACGTACTTGTAGAATCTACGGAACCGAATATAATTTGATTGGTCGCTGAGCAGTTCAATGAGTACTGGTCAGACCAATATTTTATATTTTCCAAAAGCTGACAGCATTTGAATAAAACTTATAAAGTATGTCCTTCGAAAGAACGCCTATCGCCACAAAGTCTAAGGCCTTCTGCTACTATAGAAACAAAAAATAGCGCATTTGTATTTAACAGAGGGGAGCTTCTCTCTACACTGCTTTTTTTTTCTTCTCTCGACTACCCGAGCCGAAATTTGTATTAAATATTAACCCAACATCCCAATTTAAAATAATTAAACCTCGTGACCATAGTCACCACCACTGATCCAGATAAATGGTATGTGGAGTTTTTTACACAGACTATACCTAGTTCCATCTCCAAAGAAGACAGTGCATTAAGTCTTTTGATTGCTTCAAGATCTTCCTTTTCCTTCTGTTCAGACATAGAATATCCATCCTCAAGGATTTTTAATTCATGATCCAGAAGATGTAGTTCAAGGCAAAATTCTTGATATGCTTTATTTAGCAAACCCATGCTTTCCTTCTTACGCAATTTCAGATTTTTACTTTCATATTCAAATGTTGCCTTCTCGTCAGCCAAGAATTCGCATAACTGAGTTTTCCTACAAAAGAAAACGAATTTGTTCCATTAATTTCATGAGTATTGGTAATGGACAAAGCATGGTGACAGACAGACATGTTGACAGCAATTGTAGGTAGTAATTGTTATATAAACATCATTATTCTAGGCACTAAATTCTTTTTGTCAGTTAACCTTGTAATATATTTGCATAAAATTAAATACTTTTAAATGTTTAAAATTAGAAACTGCAGAGCTGATTACTTAGGGGAAAAAAGAAGAATCAGAATCAATTTATCAGAAATTTTTTTAGATAAATTGAAATAATTAAAAACTATGGGAAAATTTATGTTTTTTTATCATATTACATAATACAAAAGTCCATTTAAACATAAATTTTAACGTTAAAAAATTTGTTCATAGAATTAAATTTTTAAAAAAAAATAATATTCTAGTTATCAAAATAAATACTTTGATTTAAAAAAAGTTTTTAGGGCTTATTTTACTAAGATATGTAATTACTTTTTAAGTTACAAAAAAATTTAAATCGGAATCAAATTTCACAAGCTGTAATATTGAGTTAAAATACCAGGATATTCAAAATCACAAGTAAAAATGCAGCAATAACAGAAATGAAAAAAAAACAGGTTCGAAAAACCGCTTATTGCAATAAATGATATTATTTTATAATTTGTTTTATGTTAAATTTATGTAAAAATTTATGAATGTTATTTGTTAAAATCTGCACAAATAGAGCACGTAAAAAGTAAATATTTTAATGTGTGATTCAAAACTCACGTGCTTTCAAACTATCGTATTAAAAATATCAGAATTTTTTTAATCAAGGGAAAAGCATAGTAATAACTACCAAAAAAAAAAACTATCAAAGTCACTTTATATTTAGGATAAAATCAGCATAAATAAAGCATATCAAAAAGTGATGTACTTAAATGCTGGATTCGAAGTATTGCAACAGCGTTTAAAAATATCGAGACTTGAGTATCAATAATTACCAAAATAAAGATTGAAAAATAATTTGATTTGCGATAAAATCGGCACAAATAAACCATGTAAAAAAAAATGATTATCTAAATGAGTGATTCTTTACGCGCGATTCATAATAATTTCGTGCTAAAATATCAAAATTTTAAAAATCTTACAGAAATGGGCAGCAATGACTGTCAAAAAAAGAATCAAAAGTCATTTAGATTTTCTATAAAGTTTAAACAAATAAATCATTTCATAACTTTCCAAATTCGCTATTTCAGAAACTATGTGAAAACAGGTAGCAAGAACCACCGAAAATAACATCCAAGATTGTGGCAGAATAAAAAATGTAGTTTCTATAATAATAAATTTATCTTAAAAACATAATTAAACTGGTAGACATACTCTTACAAACAGAGTGACAAACAAGTAACGCAAAGAAAGAATGAGTACTTTTTCATCATGATCTACGCAAGAACAGAAAATGAAAGGAAACAGGCAGACCATGACGTTACCGACATAAGTTGAATGCAGATGAAAATCGAACCTATAACCTCCGTGTTATTTAATCAATCAAAATTAGAAGGGAAAAAAAACCTTTTAGCATTTTATTTACTATAAAATCGTCACACACAAAGAGCGTCAAAAGTGATAACTAAAATTTGTGCACCGTAATAATGATGTATTTAAAATATTGGAATTTTCAAATCCGTAGTGTTAACCATCGAAAAATAGTGATAAAAAACTACATTAAAATTGGGTGCGTTAAAAACTTACATTTCAAATATTTTTTTTCTTTTTTTCAAAAAAAAATTTACATTTTTTTTATAAAATTTTGTTTAGATTGCTGCCGCAGGCCACATATATGCACCCCTAATGTATGTGAAGAATATTTTGGTGAGAGCGTTTCTATGCGCACTATGGGTTTAAGTGTTTTTTTCAAAATGAACATTTACCTAAGCAATATTTATGTGTATTTGCTAAAAATTTATCTTACACACAGTATGAACTACAGTATTTCTCAAGTATGAATAAGAGTGTTTATTTAAATTATATTTCCACTTAAAAGACTTTTCACAGACACAACATGAATAAGGTTTTATTTCTACTATGAACAAGACAATGCATATTCAAAGTATATCTGCTTTTAAACGATTTCTCACACATATTGCATGAATAAGGTTTTTCTCCAGTATGAACAAACAGTGTTTCTTTATATTACATCTCGGTGCAAATGATTTATCACATACATCACATGAATAAGGTTTTCCTCCAGTATGAACAAGGTAGTGTCATTTTAAACCTGATTTTTGCAGGAATGTTTTATTACACATATTACATGAAAAAATTTTCTCTTTAGTATGAATGATATAATAAGTTTCTAAAATGTATTTTTTTAGAATATTTTATTACACACACTGCACTTATAAGGTTTCTTTCTCATATGAATAACAGAAAGATGTTTATTTAAAGTGAATTTTAAAGAGAAAGTTTTAACACACTGCCTGCATGAATAAGGTTTTTTTCCACTATGAAATATAGAATGTTTATTTAAATCAGATTTATGTGAAAATGTTTATTACACAGCCTGCATAATTGTCGCTTCTCTCTATGAAAAAAAGAATGTTTATCTTTGTTTAAATGTTTTATCACACATGCTACATGAATGTGTTTTCTCACTACCATGAATAAAATAGGGATAACTTAAATTCGATTTACGTAAGAAGGTTTTATCTCTGCATGAATAAGGTTTTTTATCTTTATGAACAGGAAGTGATATTTTGTAGAAGTCTTTCTTAAGAATCTTTTATCACAAATAGTGTATGCATATGGCGTTTCTCCTTTCTGAAAAACAGAATGCTGATTTAAATATGATTTCAATAAGAAAGTTTTATCACACGCATTACACGAATGAAGTTTTCCACCAGTGTGTTTCATATAATTCTCCATTTAATTAGTTTGCCTTGAAAAGTTTTTATCACACACCGTACGTGAAAAAGATTTTTCTCCACTATGAACAAGCAAGTGTTGCTTCAATCTTCTTTTCTGTTTAAGCGTTTTATCATATATGAATATATCACATAGAAAACATTTTTCTATCTACTCAAGCAAAGATTATGAGCTAAATAATAAATATGAGCTACATAAATTAGAGCTATGTATAAGAAATTAATCATATAGCCTGAATAAGGACATTTTCAAACATGAATAAGGGAGTGTTCATTTAAACCAGTTTTCCGTGAGAATGCTTTATCACACACACTGCATGAATAAGATTTTTCTCCGGTATGAGCAACACAGTGTCGATTTAAATCTGATTTCCGTGAAAATGTTCTATCACAAACACTACATGAATATGGTTTCTCACCAGTATGAACAACGTAATGTCTATTTAAACTTTGCTTAAAAGAGAAAGCTTTATCACACACACTGCATGAATATGGTTTTTCTCTAGTATGAACAAGATAATGTTCTTTTAAATTAGTTTTCCATGTAAAAGTTTTATCACAAAGACTGCATGAATATGGTTTTACTTCCCTATGAACTAGAGAGTGTCTGTTTAAATTATTTCTCCGAGAAAAAGTTTTAACACACAGGTTGCAAGAAAAAGGCTTTTCTCCAATGTGAACAAGAGAGTGCCTGATTAAATTAGCTTTCTGAGAGAATGTTTTATCACATACATTGCATGAATATGGCTTTAGTCCAGTATGCAAAATATCCCGTTTCTTTAAATCACAGTCATCAGTATAAGCTTTTTCACTCATAATGCATGAATACAAGAGAAGATTCAATGCTTAAGGGCAAAACGGCTAATTCAAAACATTGCTAACTCGAAATAATTGTTAGCAACTGCTAACAGTTGATTACCACGCTGCTAATGTTTTAGTAGATTAAAGAAATGATTATTAAAAGTGAAATCATCACTCACACTCGGGTCAAAATCGTAATTTAAATTTAAAAATAAAAACCCATACCCTCCGCAAGAAGATGTGAGAAGAATTCGCATTTTTTCGCAAGCCATCAGAGCGGTTTCGGAAAGACTGCTTCATTCGACAGAAATAGAGAGCATAAAACGTACTAGAACAGCAGAACTGTCGAATCCATCAATAAATAAAAGAAATTTCTTTCGCCTAATTTTATAATTTTTACCTGTATTTATTTTTATTCCTGATTAGTGCACACATATTCCATGTGTATTTTTTTGTCGAAAATTCTGCTATAACTTTACTACGAGGACATATTTCCCGTACTAAATCATTCCCATATCAAAACATTCTCATGTACACATTCGTAATTATCCTTCAACCATTATGTGTGTATGGGCTGTCGTGCCATTGAGGAAGGATTATGTGTGATGAATCTTATATAGATAATTGTTATTTAAAGAAACGTTATTTATCGCATACTGAACAAGAACCTTTTTTATGTAGTGTGTGTGATAAAACATTCTCTTATAAAAGTAATTTAAACAGACACTCTCTTGTTCATAGTGGAGAAAAACCTTATTCATGCAGTGTGTGTGATAAAGCCTTCTACACGAAAAATAGATTAAAAGAACATTGTATTGTTCATACAGGGGAGAAGCCATATTCATGCAGTGTATGTGATAAAACATACCCTACAAAATATAAATTAAACCAACATTGTATTGTTCATACTGGAAAGAAGCCATATTCATGCAGTCATGTGATAAAGCATTCTCACAAAAACGTAATTTAAAACAACATTCTCTTGTACATAGTAAAAAAAAATCTTATTCATGCAGTGTACGTAGTAAAGCATTTAAGCATAAACGAAGTTTATATGACCACTTTCTTGTTCACTGTGAATAAAAATTTCTTCATGCATTGTATGTGATGAAATATTCTCTCTGAAATTATATTTAATTCAACTCTTTCTTGTTCACAGTTAAGAAAAACCTTATCCGTGTGGTGTGTGTGTTAAAACATTATCACTGAAATTATATTTTAGTAGTAATCATATTTTGTTTATCTATTGTGATAAATTAAAAAAACTTATTCATGCAGTGTATGTGATAAAATATTTTCACATAAATCTTATTTAAATTCGCACTCGCTTGTTCAAAGTGAAAGAAAACATTATTCATGCAGTGTGTGTGCTAAAATTTTCTCTTTAAAAAATATTTTAAAAGGGCATTTTGTTGTTCATATTGGAGTAAACCCATATTCGAGCAATATGTGTGATAAAGCATTTAAACAGAAGCATAATGTAATTGAACACTCTCTTCTTCATTGTGAAGAAAAACCTTATTCATGTTGTATATGTGAAAAAACATTCAAACAGAAACAAGAATTAACTGAACACTTTCTTGTTCATAGTAGGGGAAAACGTTTTTCATGCAGTTTATGCAATAAAACATTCTCACGAAAATCTGTTTTGAATATACACTCTCTTATCCATAGTGAAGCTAAACCTTATTCATGCAATGTATGTGATAAAACATTTAGACACAAACAAAGTTTAAAGAATCATTCCCTTGTTCATAATAAGGAAACACCTTATTTATGTAGCATATGTGGTAAGATATTCTCACATAAATTTTCTTTGAACAGACACTCTCTTGTGCATAGTGAAGAAAAACCTTATCCGTGCAGTGTATGTGATAAATCATTCTCGCGGGAATCTGATTTAGTTCAACACTTTTTTGTCCACAGTGAAGACAAACCTTATTCGTGCAATGTATGTGACAAGACATTCTCACGGAAAGCATATTTAAATACACACTCTCTTGTCCATAATGAAGAAAAGCCTTACTCATGCAGTATGTGTAATAGAACATTCTCCATGAAGTATACTCTAAAAGCACATTATGTTGTTCATACTGGTGAGAAGCCATATTCATGCAGTCTCTGTGATAAAACATTCTCACGAAAACGTGGTTTAACTGAACATTCTCTTGTTCATAGTGAAGAAAAACCTTATTTGTGTGGTATGTGTGATAAAAGATTCTCACGGAAATCTGACTTAAATAGACATAACCTTGTTCACAGTGGTGAGAAATCTAATTCATGTACTGTGTGTGAAAAAACATTTGCCAGAAAATCTGATTTAAATAGACATTACCTTGTCCATACCGGAGAGAAACCTTATTCATGCAGTATGTGTGATAAAGCATTTTCACAGAAAACTTTACTAAATGAACACTCCCGTGTTCATACTTGAGAACAGATTACTGTTCATCATAAAATGTACAAAATCATCTGCCTTCAGATTTCATTTAATATAAAAACTATTATGTTCATACTTCTGCATGATGTTATTTATTCAGTAAGTCATACACAAATTCCCAGGCAATAGCTAGTTCATGCAATACCATTTTCATTCTATGAAGCTGCCTTACTCGTGCAATCTATATAACAAAACATTCACATTAAAAGGTTGTGATTTATTTTTTTGTTAATTATGTGTAGAAGTTTTTTATGCATTATGTGTGAAAAATTTTTACAGATTATTGTAATTAAAAAAAATAACTTAATATTTTTGATAGTGGTTATTAATTTGTTTCATGCAATCTTCATAATAAAACATTCTCACAAAAGTCTAATTTAATTAAATATTTCCTTTGTCATAGTAACTAACTATTAGACCGTAATAATGAAAAAGAAGCCGATAAGTTTTGGTAAAATATGATTTGGATGTGTGATTTATTATAGCTACCATTGTGTATTTATTTTAAACAAAATCTGCTTGGAACTTAGTGTGAGAAAATTGAATACTTTATATTTTAAGATTGAAAACAATAAATCTAAAAAAATTTGTTTTTCAGAAGTAGATAAGAAAGTATATCCAGTGTGATCTGTGTTGGATTTAATATGCAATGAAAATTAAATATAGCAGGTGCTTCTATGCTTGCTAGTGAATTCTAATTGAAAACTTTTTAATTATCTGATTTACTCCAATATCCATTATAAAGATAAACCTTGAGATTGATGGCCTTTAAACTAAAATCCTTGAATTTTCCTCATTTATCCAAATTTTCCAGACTTTATTTGCAGCATACAGAGCGAGCTTATGTAATACAGTTTTTTAAGGTTTTTAGTTCTTTAAACACGTAGTAAGGATTATCAATGTAATTTTTTCGTGCGCTTTAAACGCTTTGAATTTTTCATTATTTTATTTTATAACTGTCGTTGAACAGCCGATCTAATTTTTAGTTCACGACTACTGATATTTGACTCCATATCCTTGTAATTTTGAACCTAATCCAGTAGACAACGGAACTCCTGGATTAAGTATTGAGAGAAATTTGCCTTCATGAAGGTCTTTTTGGTGGAATTAACCAGCATTTTGCCTTATACGGATAGGAAACCATGAAAAATTCTTACTCCGTAGCCTTGTAAATATGAATGCAATCCAGAAGAAAAGGGAACTATTCAATGATATATTGGGGTAAATATTGAAAATAATAAGAACGAACCTATTGGAACTTGTTTATGGAGGTCTCATGTGGCCTCGCATGAAAATGCCCCGAAATAACAATGGCTTCGAGCGAGAAGTGGTAAAAAACTCATATTTAGACAAATGAGATATTATTTTTGCACTAAATGGAATTAGATCAAGCTTGCTATGATAAAACACACAGTCTCAAAGTTTTAAGTGTTTTATGCGCAAAAATTACAATATTTGTCTTATACTTTTTTATGCATCTGACATTGCTATCTGTAGATAAGTGGAGAATTATTTATTTTTATGCTGAATCAAACTAAACCCAACATAAGCTAGTCGGACTTATAGAGCAGAAATTAAAGGTTTTTTTTATTTATGCAGAAAGTACTAATTTTTGAGACAAGTAAGTCAGATTAATTTTACTATTAAATTGTATGAGCAAAACCCTCATAACTTCTGAACTATTTTTCCTATCGACTCTGGTTTATTATTATTTAATTCAGCTTAAAAAATAGTAAAAAAAGTTTCCTTACTTGTCTACTTATCAACTAGATAACAATTGAAAATGCATAAGTAAGTAAAATTTATCTGTTTAAATACGCACCACTCTATGTAGGCAAAGTTACTTATCTTTTCACATTGTTAAATACCCATGCAACAAAGGAATTATTTATGATAATGCCTAGGAAGAACGGATTAAATGATCATATTCACTAAGGTGAAAACTGTGTTGCCTCAACTTGCTAAAGGATTTCAATCCTCCTCTACTCTATTCAAGTAAGAACAAATGATGAAAATCTTCATAACTGATTAATTTTGTTCCTTATGCCTCAGGGTCAATTGCTACAGCTGGAGAAAAATTCTTCTTGTCTATAGGGGGTAAAAAGATAGCTTGGTTTTGAAAAAATAGAATATAGATTCTATATAAAAACTGTCAATAATGTGTGCTGGTTTTGGATGCAGTCATGAGTGCCTCATTTCATCTTGATGTTGAAAATCCCCCTTGGGGGAAGAAAAAAAATCGAAATTCTGTCCTACAATTTCTATTTTCAATTTAAAAAAATAATAATAATTCTCTTAAAAATTATTTTAACAGAAATTATTTCTGCTGAAAGATTTCCTAAATTTTTTTATTTTTCATAAATAATTAAGTAAAAAAAAATTTCAGGAAAATAGAAATTTTCTGGAAGTGATACGATAATTACTGAAAAAATATCACGACGTGACTAATGAATAAGCGGGGGGGGGGGCATCTAACGAAAATACTGTAGTAATCGGACAAAAGGGCAAACTTGCCAACTTCCCCGCATTTTTTAGAGACTCCCGATTACTGACTGCATCCTCTACTGTTCCAAAATCGGGCTGAAAATCTAAAATTTTAGTTAATCTGGGGGACAAACTTAAAATTATCAATTTTTCAAGAAAGTTTCGTCTTCCTTTATCATTAATTTATATGTTGACTTTCGACGATTTCATGTCAAATCCCGACAGGTGTGTTACTAAAAAGCCGACATCATTAGTGCACAGTTCCTATTTAGAGATCCGTACCACAATCCTTGCACTTGGAGTTCGCCCTATTAATAAGTTTCTCCTGTAACGTTCGGAATTTCATCGACAGAACTTCTTGACTTGAAAATTTTCGTCTCTCTTTTACACATTTCATTTAATAAGATTTAAGCGCGATTCTAAAAACGCAAAATTTCTTAATTTACAAGTAATAAAGACTACTTGTTTATATTATTGGTTTATGGTTTTCAGTACTCTTGAGTTACTTCATCAAGAGATTTCTTAATCGCTATATATTTTAAATTGGGCGAATTTAGGGCTCTTCACTTAGAATGTCTAAGGCTGTCCTTACTAATGTCCTACGTGACTAAAATTTTAATCGAAATTTGTTGTTCCGGAAAGGGTTAACTGAAAATCGTTCATTTGAGATATGAATTTTGCACCCACTTCCACAATTTTTTTTTGTTAAGTAATCGCTTTTCTGTTAACAACAAAGAGCTTAAGTAAGTCGCATGTCTAAGGTCGCCCTTGCTAATGTCTTACCTGACAAAAATTTAATCAAAATTTAATGATCCTGGAAGGGTTAACAGAGAATCTCACATTAAAACATGAATTTTGCTCCCACTTCCCTTTTTTTTTTCTTTTTTTTTTTCGTCAACTGGAGTTAATCTCAAGTTGCGTCAAAGCGAGCATATTTTTATATCTTTATTTTTTTTTCATGTTATTTATCCACTTGAGAAGAATATGGTTTACGAAACAAAGTGTTTCAAGATCGATAATGATAAAATGGCTCAAGAAACTAAAATTTTAATTAATAGTATTTCATTTTAAAGAATAAGGTTTGTAAAACACACAAGTCCAAAATCATTAAAGATAAAATGAGGAATGAAGATTAAAATAAATAAATAAAATCTCGAGAAACTAGCGATTATAATTGAATAGTTATTTTAATAAATTAAGAAAAATATGGTTTGCAAAACACATATGTCCAAGATTTTTGAAGATGAAATTATACGAAATACTATAAAAATTAAGCATCGTAGGACTGCAGTTCCGTAGAAAAAAATTTCTAAGTTAAAGGGTTCTTCGGCGCAAAAAGTTTGCAAACCGCTGTTCTAGCTAATTTAATAGAGGTCTAAATTTTTAGTGGTGATAAAACGAGTAAATTCTGCGAGTAGCGGTCAAGAAAAGATTGAAATATCCATTGTCATGTGTCAGGTTGTTGCAGTATAAATTTGAGCCCTCTAACTAGTCGGAAAGTGGAACTGCAAGGTATTCCGTACGTCCACCACGAATTTTAGTTGCGCTCAATGCGATAATAATAATAATAAAAAATTATCAAATCAATGTACAAAGGATAGACACCAAAACGAGTATAGGTTTTAATAAAGTTTTATAATTTTAAGCGTTATTTTTAAAGAAATTTTAATAAATGTGACAACATAATGTTTTTGACACATTATCTGGCATTGGTATGATTTATTTAAATAAGTTTTTAACCATGTTTTTTTTAAAAAAAATCAATCTTTATTGCGACTTCTGAATCAAACTGATAGAAAGAAGTTTCGTCGTTACATAAAAATCAATATTGCTTCAAAGAATGCAAACTGTGATTTAAAGAAAAAGTATGGATTGTGCATTAAGAAAACAAAGTGCTATTTACCGAACCAATCTTTCCTCCAGTTCATTTATTTTTATTGTAAACAGTTCCTTTTCAAGTTCTGATAATTCTTTAAGGCTGCTCTCTGTTTCAGGTTTAGATCTGAGACTTTGATCTTGGTCTTTTGATCTCATAAATTTCGTCTTTGAACTAGAGCTTTTACTTCCTATTTGCTTCAGCTTTACCATAGTTTTCTTATGAGGTTTTTCAGCTGAAAGAATTTTTATAGTTTAAATAGTAAGGAAGCAAAAAACTCGGTGCTTTACATTACAACTAATGCAAAACATTGCTGTCGCAGTTTTGTTTTGTACGAGTGGAAGAGCTGCAAAATATTGTTGCAAATTTGTAAATATTTGAATAGTTTCGTGAATGTTCTTTTGTTATGAGGATAATTTATCTCAGATGGTCCGGAAATAAGCAGTTTATTAAGAAAATTTGCAAGAAACTCGCTGAATAACGAATTTTATAATTCGCTAAGTTAACGAATTTTTTAATTGTGTGCAAAATTTTTTCAATATGCTTAAAAAGCTCTCGAAATATAGCGAGATACGCAAAAAATAAAATTAACAATTAAGAGTCCTAACTTTGAACAGCTTTCCTAACCTAACTATTGTTACCCTATTTCCCAGATTATTTTTTGAGGGTCAGAAATCCGCATCCATCGATAAAAAGGTATGTTTATTCAGAGAAAATACGTTTTTGTGCCTGATTTCGTAACTTAAAATATCAAAATATCACTCAATCTTAAAAGTTCGAGGGGATTGCCTTAAATATATTTAAGGCGATCCCCTCGAACTTTAAAGATTGAGTCCTAAAACGTGAAGATCAGTTCATTAGATCAAAATTTAATCAGGATGGTTCATTTTTTTTATGTGCACTGTTCTTTGACCTGAAATACTTCGGAATTAGTATTTCTTTTTTTTTTTTAATTGAAAGAAGTTAATTAGCTACCTTAGTCGAAGTTACATTTAGTTTTTACTTCGTTGAATAATCAGAGCCCTAGTCTAAAATTTTATTTATTTTATTTTTTTGAGCACAGTACATAGATATTCAAAGAATACGAATTATTAAAAGGAATCTGACATGTGCGGCGTTGGCACCGGAGATGCTGGGTTTATGCCTCCCCAATAAATAGTTAGAAATTTAAAAAATTTTCTCATAATGTTACAAAAAAATATCAAATTTTGTATCAATTGAAGCCAATTCATTGATTATTTGAATTTTTTTTTTGTTCTCTTAAGTTGAATGGGCATTAAGCTGTAGTAATAAAACTTAATTATTCATATTATTTCACGCATATTATTTTCAAATCATTCTTTTATTATGAAAATCAAAAATAGCATTTAATTTGAAATTAAAATTTTTTTCAATTTTTAAAAAAAAATCTTTCTAATTTTTTAAAGTTTTAGAAAAAGAAATAAATGAGCTCTAAAAGATAATACTATTTCTTGTCTGCTGTTATATTTGCCTGATTTTCATGCGGGAGAAGAATTGGGTATTTTCTCGTCTTTACATAATTGCAAACGGGAAAAGTGCGAAAGGAAAGGAAATCTTTCCCTCTTTTTAAATTTTATTTTAAAACTTTCTTTAAAAATTTATTTTTAAAAGTTTGTTCGTCAAGTTCGATTGTAAATAAGTTCTCCCACGATAAACTTTTTCAGAAATCAATATTTTATTTTCTTCATGCTTTTAAAGAAATTAGTACGCACGATGTTCGAATCCTTAAACTTTAATTGCGCTTTCCAGGCAAATATAGTTTTCTTACTTGTCCAGTGTTGGAAATTAGTCATTCAAAAAATATTCATCAGAGTGGTAGAAAATTTTTCATTAGAGAAATGCTAAATATTCCAAAATCTTTTGCTTGCTTTCTTTAAAAAATAGCAATTCTACAAATAACTTGTAGAAATGTAAAATACACTTCTATTTTTATGGTTTAAAATTTCAACATTAAAACCACTTTAAAGAAAAGTTTTTCCGATTTAGTTTAAAGTCTTACATACTTTAGTGCTAAGTAAAAAACCTTTATAATGAAGCATAGACATACGTACATGTTTTTTTTTTAATTCTATTTGAATATGAAAAATTTAAAATCAATAAAAAATGTTAAAAAGTAATAAAAAAAAAAGCTGTGAAATTAAGTACAAGATGAGAGGGAAAAAAAAATTGTAAGAGGATGTCATTTCCTCTTCCAGAAGTTTGAAATAAAAATATGCATACAGATTTTTTCAAAAAAAAAGTTTTTATTATTATTTTTATAAGAAATTTTAGGATAACTGAGAAGAAATTAATTCTAATACCCATGGACGTTTCTTCTTATTTCCTAATATTTAGCTAAAGCTCTTACAAATTGATCACTAAAAAATACTACAAATTTACTATGTGAGAAAATTTATTATTTTATAAATATAGCGATAACAACCAGTCACTCTAAGTAGTATTTAATTTGGTAACCAATGTAAACAAAAAAAAAAGATGTTGTTGCTATGCAAACTGTGGTTACAGTTAAAGAAATTAAATAATCATAACATTATGCAGAGTTGAAAAAGAAGGTAAACTTGATTAAGCACATAAGAAAAAAATGTAAAAAAGTAATTCAAGTAAAAATTGAATCATTTTCAATTAAATTTATTGCTCTAAGGGGGAAGTAGAAGTTGAAGTGTTTACCATTATATGGCGATCTAGAATTGTGCAGAACTAGGTATCTTTAAGCTTATTACTTTCTTGAAGTCGGAAAAAATAACAATAAATAAAATTAGAAAGCATTTCTTGAATCTGTTGTGTAGGAAATATTTGTTTTGTTTGTAACTTAAAAGAGTTAAAGTTACGTCTTTTAGACGATTTAGCCGTTATATTAATATAAAAACTAAGTTTAGCACAATATTCTTATATTTTATAGAAGATAAGTAAGTTTAGTAGGAAGATATTTTTTTCCCAAGCCTAATTTTAAGATATATTTTTTGAATATAAAGCTTTTATATTTAACTGTGCAGTTTTTATGTTTCCCGAATGATTAAAGTTAATGTTTTTATTTACAAGGAATAGGTTTTCTGATAGATGAAATGTGTAACACTTCTTATAATGATGCAATCTGGAACACATTTTGTTAATGCCTAATAATATGTTGAATTAACTTTTATGCAATTAAAAATTAATTCTTTGTAAATACGTTTTTTTGTTCTATAAAGAATATTCTTTTTAGGGGATTTTTATCAGAAATATCCTATAAATAATCGGGAAATTTTTAAAAAAATTAGGAATGAATCCTGTCATACAAACATGAAATATACATATTATTTATGCCATGTATTAATGTACTAGTTATGGTTGTTAAAGGACCAGGATGCTTAAATTTTTTTAATTCTCTTTGGTGTTCAGGAATATTTATTTTAAAATATAAATGTTTTGTATCAAGTAATTTATAATTTAAAATAATTGTCTTTTGAAAAATGCATTTCATTTATTAATTTTTTTTTTAGTTTCTTTTACTTTACATAAAACTTTTCACAATGATTGAAGTAACTTGCAACGACCGATTAGGGAAGAAAGTTCGTATCAAGTGCAAGTATCCTTTTTAAATGTATTTTTGCAGAATTGGTTATCAAAAATTTGCCTTCTAAAAAAGGTTGACACCCCTTATTTTATGACATGATAAAAATAAATGGTATTAAATGTATTAGATAGTAGTAGTATAAATGTTTGATAAATTATTTATTTAATAGCTTTGTTAAGTTTTAGTCTGTATTTAATTCAGTCATGATTGACAATATTGATGAAATTAAACTGATGTTGATAGTCAGGCAAGTTGTTTTGCTGTTTCATAACTTCATCACAGCAATTGTTATCTAATATTAGTCTCATAATTTTTCTAATGTGTAAATATCATATGATGTTGTACTTTTAAACTTAAACTAATATGTATATTTATCACTTGTTGTTCAAAAAATTTAGGAAATATTATTATATTTTAATTTTAATATCTTTAATTTCTGGAAATCAACTACAATTTGAGTCTGTTTTAGTTCCTATTGTGTTCAAAACTTTAGGAGGGTTTATTTAAAGTAAAGAAAATAGACCTTGTAAATTATATAGCCAAGCAAGCTTAAAATTAGTCTTTACTTAAAGTTTGTTTCAAGCATGCATCTCATCTATAGGGCATTGTTTATTAAACTAACCTAATCGGTTACAATTTTAATTTCTTCGCTTTTGAAATATATATGATCTACTGATAATTTAGTCTTTTTGTTCTTTTACCTACAAACCTTTGAATTTATGTCCTGAAATTTCCCTGTTGCTACTTTCTTAATAATATGAGGAAAAAACTACTAACTGGAAGTTTCGGACAGTCAAGACTAGTGCTCTGATTATTTAACAAAGTAAAAACTAATTGCAACTTTGATTAAGACAGCTAATTCATTTTTTTTTAAATATTTATTCTAAAGCATTTCAGGTCTAAGTACATATATTTTAAGTTTATGCTTATCATGATTAGTTATTAGCCCTTGGTATCATTAAACTGACTACCTGTTACTAACAGTTTCTAGCCTCATTTCTGTAGTCCTACTATGAACTCAGGACCATTAAAAATCCGTTTTTATTTGCAGGCTGTTGCAGATGTGGCGGTCATTGAAACAAGCGGCTGTTAAGTCTAAAATTCACAACAAAGTTTTTTTCCGCAATCATTCAAATGAATTATATAGTAAATCTCGAAAGGTAGCTATAGTAACTGCTGCTGCTTGTACAGGATTGGTGTCAGCTGTTGTGTACAGTAAATATGATTCTGCACTAAAAAGTGTTTTTGAAAGATATATTCCATATATTAATAAAATATATGAGCTCTTGCCGGATTTTTATGAATCTAAAAGCCTGACACCTGAAACATCCCTAGAGAATAAAGAGTTGTCCAATTTTTTAAAAGATGAGCCAGAAGATGCTGCTGGCTCATCTCAGAAATTTGGGGTAGATTTTAAAACGCATGTAAAAGACGGAACTGTAAATAGTGATGTAAATAAATTAGAAGTAGAGCCAGTTGAGCTGAATGTCTCATTGTCTGAAAAGCAAGCTTCAAAGTTTGTATTCAATGAAAGTTTCGTTAATGGTATGGTAAAACAATTGGAATCAAGTTGTAGTGAAACGATATTAGCATATGAAGATGCTGTCGAAGAAATTAGAAAATATATGAAGTCATTGTGTGCAGCCTTATCTGGTGATCCTGATAGTAATATTGCTTGGAAACAAGCTTATCAGGCAACTTGTGATAGAAATGCTGCTATTGAAAGGGCTGAAGAAAAGGCATCAAATACCAAAGCTTTGATTGAAAAGCTTAAATCTATTGCAAAAAATGTTGCCCTTGAAGATCCTAAACACCCATTAATTAATATGTGTGATGATACTGTTAAGAAAATTGTGAAAGAACTAAATAATTCTGAAACTAAAATAAAATCTGTTGAAAATGAAATCAAATCTACTTCTGAGTATCAGATGCTTGTGAATAAATGTATAGAAGAGTTTCGGCAGAAATTTCAAAATTGGACCCATGGATTAAGCGATAAAAAAACTATTGATGAGAGTGATTTGAATGCCTTGATTGTTGAAGCTCATCAAAAGATTGAGCAATTACAGAAGCAACTTGCTAAGCAACAGGTCACTGAAGAGGTAAGACTTGGTGAGGCAGTGAGAAAACAAATATTGAATGAAAATTCTCTAATCGAGGACAAAATTGGAGCAGAATTAGAAAAAAGAAATATTGAGATTGAAATAGCTGTTTTGAAAAGAGTGTCATCACTTAAAGAAAATTTTGAATCTGAACTTAGGAAGCTACTTCATATCCAAGCAGCGGCACATAGTGACCATATACAAAAACTGTTGAAAGTACATGAGCAAGAAATTGAACGAAAATATTCTTTAGATTTGGAAGAAAGACTACTACACACGAAAGGTGCTATTGCATCTGATATGTCTGGATTGATGGCGAGGTTGAAAAAAATATTAGCATTTTTAAAAGCTAAAACAGATTTAGATGCTGAGTCCAGAAAAGCTGAATCATTATGGTTATCTTGCCAGTCCATGAGTAACAAGATTTCTTCAAATAATAGCAACTTGAATCCTTTGGAAGAAGATATTGCTTCTATAAAGCTTTCTGCGGATGAAAGTAATGTGTATGTTAATACTGTATTGGCAGGAATACCTAATGAAGCCTTATCTCGTGGTGTATGTTCTCCTGGCATTTTAAAGCAGAAGTTTTTTGATGTGAAAAAAGTTTGCCGAAAAGTAGCAATGATCGATGAAAACAATGATTCTTTATATCGTTATTTTTTGTCTTATTTGCAGTCTTGTCTAATTATAGATGAAGTTTCCATACCTGCAGCTGAGCTTGAGGGAAAGGTGGCTGTTGATCCAAGGGAATGGGATACGTATGATATTCTTTCCAGAATCTCTTATTCCTTACAAAGTGATAATCTTGAGCAAGCTTTGAGGTACGCCAATCAGTTAAAAGGAGAGGCTAGGATTGTAGCGAATGAATGGATAAAAGAATTAAGACTATTGTTAGAAACACAAACAGTTGTTAAAGCTCTCTCAGCTTATGCAGCAGCTGTTAATGTTCAGGCTTATCACTAACGTAACTGTTGTATCAAACTGCTTAGTAATTAAATAAAGAATATTCCTTAATTTTCAATGCTTTTGTTATCTCATTTAAGTAACAACAAAAGAAGTTTTATTTTGGAGAACCATTAAACTTTATATGAAATGACTATCATTGCTGATAATATTTTCACGTTATTATATTTTACATGGTCACCATTAGGTTCATAGAATATAGTTTTTCACGATATTAAAAAAGTCAAAATTTGAATTTCTTTCAAAATAGAGGTAGGTACTGTTGGTATTTAAAAGGCAAACTGTTTTTCAATTCGTAAAATAATAAGTAATATTTAAAATAAACTTTTTCAATTAGTTTCAAACTGTTCGCCATTATATCAATACAGGTAAGCAGCTCATCTGTATGGATGTTTTTGATTTTAAAATAAATTCTAATTTAAGATTAACTTTTATAAGTTTTTGGTTACGCTTGTTACACTTCAAAGAACCTTTGACCTTTTTTTTTTTAGAGTAGTACATATTTTTTTTACAATTTGTTTAGTATTATTTGAAAAAAGAATACTTATTATTAAAAAAATACTTCAACAAAGCATTAAAATTCATAAATTTTTGGTTAAAAAAAACATTTTCTAGATTATTTACCATAAAAACTACAAAGAAATATAAAAAATTCTTCCAGTTTTGTTTTCTTTGTACTTTTTACTGAAAAATAATCAAGAATATGTTAATTTAATGTGAAGAAAAAATATCATCCAATTTGTCTTACTTTTTGTGGAATCACCCATAAGGTTTTAAAATGTTTTGAGTACTAGTCAATATTTTAAACTAAATCAAAGCTTCAAACTTATTTTACTCAACTGACTGTGGATGAAGTAGAATTTTATTTTTAATTGATTGTTCATATCTTGAGTCAATTTTAAATGGTACTTTTTTTTTTTTTTGAGAAATCGCAAAATTAAATCTAAAAACTTTTTTCTTTTAATTTTCTACTCTTACGGAATTCTTTAACATAAGGGTTTTTTGAATTAAAAAAACTTTTTTGGCATAAAATTTTATAATTTAACAAACTTTTTTCAAAAATTGTTCTAAAGATGTAAAAAAAAAAGAAAATAGAATTTTTTATGTCTAAAAGAAAATAAACTGTGAAAATGTAGACTATATATGAAGAACAAAAAAAATAATTTTTTTTTAGGGTTAATGCTGAGAAAAAGGTTATGTTTTAATGAAAAAAAAATTTTTTTTTCATTCAACACATTAAAATTTTTGAAAAACTAGACCTTGTTTCATATAAAGTCTAGAGGTCAAAATAATATATGAATTAAATAAATTTGGTCTTAAATTTATCAATATATATATATATATTATTAAATATAAAGAAATACCAACCACTGTTGCATTGTATAGTTGCTAGGATTTTGATTGTGATTACAAAAAAGGTTGACAGTTTTTGAAAAGTATAATTTCTCAATTTTTTAAGGACATTTATTGGTTCTTTTTTTTAAAAAAAAAATTGAACTAATTTAATTAAGTAACTTTTTTTTTCTCAATGGGGCCAACGTGTTTGTTTAGTAATTAAATTTAGATTAGTCTCACTGACACTTTTAACAAGTGAGGAATTTGTGACTGAATTCAAAATATTTTAACTCTTATATATTTGTAATTCTTCCTACTAGTGATCATATAAGATACATAAAATGCTTACATATGAACATTGATATGCAAGTTGTTTAAATGCACATTGAAGTCTAATAATTCCTTTGACTTGTGATAATTATTGAATTAATTTTTTGAATTCTAAGATGACTAGAAAAATTTCTAAATTTTTATTTTCTCCGCTGGGCCATGTTTGTCAATATTGTCAAACAAAATTTTTGTGTATCAAAATGTTTTTTTTTTTAATGGATATTAATAAAAATGTATGCATTTAAATATTGTTTCAAAACAAATAGTATTTACATTATATCTACATTAACACTTGTATTTTAATATAAATATATTAAAATTTATTTTCTGGCCTGTAAAGCGAAAAAATTTTTGTCTGATTTAAATTTTAACATCTCACAACAATGTTGGGAAATATAATTTTTGTGCTCTTGTGAATATGAGTTGCGTTACGAGACCTTGATGACAGTATTGTAACAGCACTTTGCACCATTCAATCATTAATCACATAAATATGAATATGATACATAAATCATGTTAATGTGATTGTTGATGTGCTATTTGTAAACTACATGAAAACAAATCAGAGTTGGGAATTTTTTAAATTTAATTTAGTGTAAAAACCAACAGTTAAATTTTTTTTATCGATTCACATTCAGGTGACTTACAAACTGCTAATTTTTCTAACTGATATTATCTTTTATATACAATAGTTTTGAAATGCTGTACTTTTTTGCACCTTTTTGCATCGCTAGACTTAATTTCTTTGCCACAAAGTAATGCAAAGTATTTAAGTTACCCTATTTTAATATTTCTACTCTTAATTTAATATTGATGTGTTTAAATGCACCCCTGCTTATTTCTCGAACTACTCTAATTTTCTGACTTATACTTATTTCTGTTCTAGAAGTTGATTAATTAGTGTTCTACTGTATATTAAAGCTTATTGTATTAAAAAATATAAATTTTGATTTTAAAAATCAATTAAATGTCATTTTACAATTTACTTATTGAAAATAATCTCCATTATCAAGAAAAATATGACTGCAGTTTTTTAACCCAAAATACAGTCAATTCGCTATAACTCGAAGTACGATAACTCGAATATTACTATAACTCGATTTTTTTATGAGGTCCCGACCCTTTTATCTTCAATTTCATGTTAATTATTCTCGATTACTCGAATTTTACTCCCTTTAACTCGATCTTTTTTGGATCTTTTAAAGCAAGAAAAAAAACCTAGAAGCTGACATCTTGTCCCTTCCTTTGCAACACACACACAATGTCTTTCGCACTCTTCATGGAGAAGCTAAAGCTGTCCCTCTTGAAGTATGTGAACAGTGGTTAAATAACACGTTACCAAATTTACTTCAAGGATACAGTTAAAATGATGCTTTCAATATTGATGAAATGGGTTTATTTTTTAAATGTCTTTCAAATAAGACTATGATGTTTAAGGATGAAAACTNAAAATGTTTCCTTTACAGCTAAAATTAATAGCTTGCCAAAAAAGAAAAAAAAAATTTCTCTTCTATGAGATGTTTACATCGAAAATTCCTATTAAAATGAAATTAATCATGAATTAAAGAGTATGGTTGAAAACATTGAATAGATTAAAATTCGTTGCTGTTTCGGCACCTGGGGGAAAATATACTCCATTAAAGTTTACTTTTCCAGCTCATGTGGATTTGTTTCACAACAGTTAGGCTTTCTACCTTTTATCGCAGAAGTTATAGGTTCAAAAACGTGGATAATTGTCTATATGTTTTATTCAATTTATAATTTATTTTAACTTTTAATTTTTTTTAATAAATTTATATTTAATTTATTGTTTGTATATTGGTTTGATAAATATTTTTCAATGTACTCTTCATTTAAATCGCATATATTTGTATACAACTTTTGTTCAATGCTATACTCCTATAAATATCAATCATTTTTTTACTTGTAATTGTTTTACTGTATTACCAACTAAATTTGTTTTTTCACTGAAATGATGTTAAGTAATAATTTTTTTTTTCAAGCAGCAAAGTATAACAAGCATAATAGTATACTTTAATTTGTTTGCATTTTTATAATTAAATTTAATAAAAACTTAAATTATTTATTAAAGTAAAAAATTAAGTTAGTTTAAAAATTTAAATTACTAAATTTTTCAAAATAATCCATGTTTGTTAATTAAAAAATAAAAAAAATTAAATATCTATCAATTTTTTTGTTTTTAAAAAATTACTTTGAATTTTATCTCTCGATTTCTGTATTTAAAACTTTTTAAATACAGAAATCGAGAGATAAAATTCAAACACCACACCTGGAATTTGAACTCAGACATCTGATATGACGGCAAATTTTTACTCTATTCAAGGTTTTTAAAAATGTCTCGGGATTTATAAAACTACATGACATAAGTTGTCATAGGTGCCAAAAAAATTGTCGAAACGGCAATTAAATTTACAATGAAAATTGGCCAAAATAAAAACAAGTTGAAAAGTAATTACTCAAATTTGATATTTGCGCATCATAATAAAAATATGGGGATTTTTAAAACCATGCCAAATTTCTTAACCAGACCTTGAAAAACCGATCAAGAAACAACATAGATTTACATTAGAATCTGTGTAAATTGTGCTCATCAATAAGTTATGACTCAAATGTCCGATTCAAAATTTTTTTATTTTGCAAAAATAATTTCATTGTGTTCAAAAGCTCAGGTTGTGCACCCTTTATTTTTTAAAAAGTCTGTTGAATTTTAAGCCAATATTAGAATTTTCACTTATAAGGTAAAATTTTCAAACTATATAATACTTTTATTTTCCAGATAATTCAAATAATTAGGTTATGAGCTGCTCAAATATTTCTGTTCTTTTTAAAACTAAAATATTTCTGTGAAGTTTTTAAGAAATATATTGCATATTTTATGATTTTAAAACTCTTGAATGATTCCAAAGTGTCACATTTTTAGAAAATTAATTGAAACAATTAGAAAATTTAACAAAAATGTTTTAATTTATGTTATAAAATTTTTTTCATGTATTTTTTTTACTAATGCAAGAGCATTAATTAAATAATAACCTACTATGTAGAAACTTTATTTTTGAAGTAACCATTATTTTAAATTTTAAGAAACATTTTATAAAAAATTTACTTTGTGTCCTTAACCTTTTTTAAGATGAAATCCATGATGGCATGAATTTAGAATTGTATTATCAATGATTTTTTAACAACAGAACTTTCAACCTATTAATCAACAAAATATTCCATTATAAATTCTACTCATGCAAATGCTGTACATTATTGTCATGTTTTTATCAATAAATGAATTGTATTAACCTAGGGTGTTTTATTTTGAATATGTTTGTTGTTTTTAATTTTTTTTTCATATGTTACTGTTTTGGAAGAAAAAAAATAAAATCAGAATAAAAATCTCTTTTTAAAAAAAAAGTTTTCTGAGTCCATTTTTTTAAAGACATTTATATAAGTATCTTTGATTACTAGTTAATTAATTTTCTTGTGCTAAAAATCTGTTTATATCTAAGACATCAAACGAAACATAAAAAGCTAGACTATCTGCCATTTCAATAAATGGTGACATTATGTTTCATTAAATAAATTCAATATATAAATTGAACATATAATTAAACAAACATTTTGAAGAATACAATGTTTGTTACATCTTTTAATACAATTGTATTAAAAGCCCATATTCTTCATCCTATCCTACATTTCCTAATTACTAAATCTCTTTATGGAGTCAATAATTGTTTTTTTTAAAATAAAGACCAAGATTAACTTAAAAGATTTATTTACATATTCATATATACACACAAGTATCCCTATCCTTTTTCACTGGCTTCATTCTCATTATCATAATTTCTAAAACAAAATTACAAATTGGGTTAATTTTAAAATGACACAATTCCTTATTAAAAGTGTAAAAATAATTTTCATAACAATCGATTATGAAAATTTGTTCATTTGGTAGCATTTGGGACTTTTCTTAAAAATAACTTTTTTAACTGCATAGTGATTTTAAAAAATGAATAAAGTGCACAAATATGCATTTAAAAATGAAATAAAAATATTACTGGAAATAAAATTTCTAGCAATTTAAATCCAGTTTCTTTTAAGCATCAGAAGTTTGTGCTTCCTCAGACAGCAATTAATTATAAGATAACCATATATTTATATGGGGTCACCCTTAAAAAATATCCCTTTTTTCTGTATTTTTGTCCCCCTCGTCCTCATCATAAAGTGTCACACTTCGTTTTACTCCAAATCACCTGGTTACATGTCGCATGGCAGCAGTTCAGAATCAAAACAGATACTTAAAATTTTAACTATGCATTTTATTCCCTTCCAAGCATGACAACATTCATGTAAAAAACCCTTTTGCAGAATCTTCTTAATATATATATATATCTTATTGTTTTTCTTAACTTTCTTTGTGTTTTCTTGTATTTATATATATATTCTAATTTTATACTAATGAAAACTGATTAAACATTTCTGAATTAAATAATTAAGATCAAATGAACAATAAATGTTTTCAAGGGTGTGAAAAAATTTACTTTTATATTATAATATATTGTAAATAAAAACATCAATACCACCCTATTACATAATTATCACCTTATTACACAATTTTTCAAATTATTGTAACAAGCTTAAATGATTAAACAAGATATAAAGTCATATACAGGGGGTGGACAAAATAATGGAAACACTTCTTTACTAATACAGTTTCTCATATTTCTCAAGAAAACTTAAAAGAAACTCAAAATGATAAGGGGTTTTCCACAAATATAATTTTGTATCAAAGGACAAAATTAAATAACAAATGATAATGCCTTACAATAAATGTTTATATACAGAAATATGATTGTTAAAGGAAAGAAAAGACACTTTATAGGGATAATCCCAAACAATGCTAGCGTCATTTTTAATAAATCTTATTTAATAGTTCAAAATGAAATTTGTGGAAAACACCTTATCATTTTGAGTTTTTTTAAAAAAGTATAAAATATACTTAGAAAATGGCTTTTAAATTAAGGTATTAAAATAAGATTTTTTTTTATTAGTTGCACAATACGATTTCCTACAAAATTAAGAAGAAAAAAAATTCACAATTTTCCCTTGCGGGCGCGGTATAAAAGAACTACTAAAATTACTAATATCTTGCACAATTTTAAACGAATTTTTCTCAAATTGTAAAGCAGTAATTTTGTAACTGTTCAGTTTTGTAAGTGAGCAACGCCCTCTGTGTAAAAAACGAGAGAACTAGTGTGTGTATTAATTACCAACCTCGAAAGAGGCAAGTGTGTGAATTCAATGTGCAAATAAAATATCAGTCCGCTGCGTTAATATGTGTTTTGTGTCTCATGTTAAGAGAAATAACATGGTCCTTACCCGAGCCTGAGCGGGTAAGCGATCTATGGACGAGAGAATTTTGTGAAAATTAAGCTAAAATTANTCAGGTTGTGCACCCTTTATTTTTTAAAAAGTCTGTTATTTTAAGCCAATATTAGAATTTTCACTTAAAAGTATTATATAGTTTGAAAATTTTACCTTATATTTTCCAGATAATTCAAATAATTAGGTTATGAGCTGCTCAAATATTTCTGTTCTTTTTTAGGTATTATTTTTATTGAAGTATTATTTTTAAAAACTAAAATATTTCTGTGAAGTTTTTAAGAAATATTTTGCATATTTTATGCTTTTAAAACTCTTGAAAGATTCCAAAGTGTCACATTTTTAGAAAATTTATATTCTGTAAATATAATATTGATTAAAAGAAGAAACAATAAAAAAAATTAACAAAAATGTTTTATTTTTATGTTATAAAATTTTTTTCATGTATTTTTTTTACTAATGCAAGAGTATTAATTAAATAATAACCTAGTAAGTGGAAACTTTATTTTTGAAGTAACCATTACATTTTAAATTTTAAGAAACATTTTATAAAAAATTTACTTTGTGTCCTTAACCTTTTTATAGATGAAATCCATGATGGCATGAATTTAGAATTGTATTATCAATGATTTTTTTAACAACAGAACTTTCAACCTATTAATCAACAAAATATTCCATTATAAATTCTACTCATGCAAATGCTGTACATTATTGTCATGTTTTTATCAATAAATGAATTGTATTAACCTAGGGTGTCTTATTTTGAATATGTTTGTTGTTTTTAATTTTTTTTCTTCATATGTTACTGTTTTGAAAGAAAAAAAAATAATCAGAATAAAAAAGTTTTCTGAGTCCATTTTTTTAAAGACATCATTTATATAAGTATCTTTGATTACTAGTTAATTAAAAATTATTTTCTTGTACTAAAAATCTGTTTATATCTAAGACATCAAACTAAACACAAAAATCTAAGACTATCTGCCATTTCAATAAATGGTGACATTATGTTTCATTAAATAAATTCAATATATTAATTAAACAAACATTTTGAAGAATACAATGTTTGTTACATCTTTTAATACAATTGTATTAAAAGCCAATATTCTTCATCCTATCCTACATTTCCTAATTAATAAATCTCTTTATGGAGTCAATAATTGTTTTATTTAAAATAAAGATCAAGATTAACTTAAAAGATTTATTTACATATTCACATATACACACAAGTATCCTTATTCTTTTTCAGTGGCTTCATTTTCATTATCACAATTTCTAAAACAAAATTACAAATTAGGTTAATTTTAAAATGACACAATTCCTTATTAACAGAGTATTTTCATAAACAATCAATCATGAAAACAATAAATCCTTTACAATTAAGTATCAATTTTATGATTTTTTTTAAATGATTTGATTAGTAAGAAAAAAAATCTGTTTCTAATTTTACACTTTTTTTTTTTTACTGGATAGCATCAAAAAAATATTTTTTCCCACTACAGCCATATTTAACAACCCTACACATTTAGTGTGATCATAGTCATCAGCATGTTTGTTCATTTGGTAAAAATAGAAATTGGTAGCATTTGGGACTTTTCTTAGTAAACTCTTTTAACTGCATAGTGATTTTAAAAAATGAATAAAGTGCACAAATATGCATTTAAAAATGAAATAAAAATATTACTGGAAATAAATTAATATTTCTAGCAGTTTTTTTTTTAAGCATCAGAAGTTTCTGCTTTTTCAGACAGCAATTAATTATAAGATAACCGTATATTTATATGGGGTCACCCATAAAAAATGTCCTTTTTTTCTGTATTTTTGTCCCCATTATCACAAATTGTCAAACTGTTTTACTCCAAATCCCCTTGTTACATGTCACTATATTACAGTAGTTGTTGTTGTTGCTAATTCCCATCTGGTCTGACGGGGTCAGACCAGATCAATGAATCCGTTGACACTCAGAAAATCCGAAACCAGAATGGGAGAGGAATGAATGTCATTCCAGTCCAGCCCTAAACAGTTCAAGATGTGCTCAGGTGATGCCTGGTTTTGTTGGCATTTAGGGCAAAGAGGAAAGATTTTTTGATTTGCAGAAAATGTGAGACTTTTTAGGTGTCCACTGGCCAGTCGGGATAAGCAGGTGTTGGTTTGCCTATCACCAGGGAGAGATAGAGAGAGTCCTGGTCTTTCTGTACAGTAGTTCAGAATCAAAACAGATACTTAAAATTTTAATGATAATTTGTGCACATAACATCAATAATGGTTAAGTGTATACTTATTTTGATGAAAAATATAAAAACTAACCATATAAAAATATTTTAATGATTTTAAATATTTTAATTTCAACCAAAACATGTTAAGTCATACTTTTTTGTATCTCTCTTCCCCTTGTCACGATATGAATAAAGAATACTAACCAGACTGTTCAATTACAGTAACCTCTTTCTCCCTTACAAGCATGACACCATTTATGAAAAAAAAACTTGTGCAGAATCTTCTTAATATATATATATAATGAAAACATTTTTGAATTAAATACTTATGATCAAATGAACAATAAATGTTTTCAAGGGTGTGAAAAAATTTACTTTTATAATATGTTGTAAATAAAAACATCAATACCACCTTATTACACAATTTTTTCAAATTATTGTAACAAGCTTAAATGATTAAACAAGATATAAAGTCACATACAGGAGGTGGACAAAATAATGGAAACACTTCTTTACTAATACAGTTTTTCATATTTCTCAAGAAAACTTAAAAGAAACTCAAAATGATAAGGGGTTTTCAACAAATATAATTTTGCATCAAAAGAGAAAAATAAATTAAAATGCCTTATAATAAACGTTTATACACTGAAATATGATTGTAAAAGGAAAGAAAAGATACTTAATAGGGATGATCCCAAACAATGCTAGTGTCATTTTTAATAAATCCTATTTAATAGTACAAAATGAAATTTGTGGAAAACAACTTTTCATTTTGAGCTTTTTTTAAAAAGTACAAAAATTACTTAGAAAATCGTTTGCAACTTTTTAAATTAAGATATTCAAATCAGATTTTTTTTATTAGTTGCATAATATGATTTCCTACAAAATTAAGAAGAAAAAAAAATTCACAATTTTCCATTGCAGGCCCAGTATAAAAGAACTACAGTGGAAAGTCGCGTATCCGGAATCGGCGGGACTTTCCGAAGTCCGGATAATCGATTTTTCCGTATAATAGACCCCCAAGGTAAACAGAGATTAAAATGATCTGAATCTAAGAAGCAGAAATTAAATAACATTATTTTTCGGGCAATAATGTTTTAGTATTAGAATGATATCTAATCAATCAAAAACAAAATATTTAAAAAAAAATAATTATTGCTATTATAAAAATAAATATAGGAAACTAAAAAAATTTACAGTTATGAAAATATTAATTGCTCTCTCCGCCATTTTGAACTAGAACGTTTCAAGCAAGAAGGGGAAATTCCCGTCATTCATTCATTAAGGTGGGTAGGTGAAGAAGCAAAATTCATTTCCTTCTTACTTGTCATTCAAGTTGAAGGGGGGGAAGTGACAAGTTCTTATTTTCTCTCCTGTCATTGGCTATCAATCAAGCATAAAGGCGTGGCATGCTGATTGGGTTCTCTTTATTTTTTCTTGTGTGACTAAAGGGGATTCCCCCTCCACTTTAACGTTTGCTGTGTTTACCCTTTTTCACAGTACTTCTTTCCCTAACACTTTATCAAAAAGGTTCCAGGAAATGCCTCTTTTACTAGCCAGCTGCACAGGAAAGAAGGGGGGAGGGGACTCAATTGTGCTCTTTTGAAAACAAATCTCCCCCCCCCTTTCCTGCATTCCAGAGGAGGAGCGTTACTAACGGTACGGTCTTGGTAGATCTTCTGTTCTCTTTTCTGTTGATTTATGGGTTTAATGCATAGATCACTAGAAGCTAAGAAAGGAAAAAACCTGTCAAAATACTTTTTTTTTTTTTTAAAGAGAGTGGGGAAGATGAAGAAATGTTTGTTTATTTTGATTGTTAAAAAGTGTCCGGGAAATTGACCCTTCCAGAAAAGGGACGTCCGGATATGGGACGTTACACTGTACTATAATTACTCATATCTTGCACAATTTTAAACAAATTTTAAAGCAATAATTTTGTAACTAATTTTAAATTGCACTAAAAATTTTGTTTAATTTTATTGCAAATTTTTCAAGTTGTAGCAAAAAACATATAATAACCAGAATAACTACTACAAGTTACAAATTTATTGCTAAATTTTTTGGCATAGGTTGTTCAAAAACACTATTTTCCGTTTGTAATTTATTGTCGGTCCCAAAGCTTTAAACTTCATTGGTAAGTATGATAAGTCCCATGATTTAAACATTTCTGAAGTTATGATTCTTTAAGTATTTCCATTATTTCATCCACCCCTTGTAATTTTGTAAATAATAATATAACCAATTCTCACTTGGAAAATATTTCATCTTTAAGTAATGATTGTATCAAGCAAGTGACAACAAACACATTTAGACTGTTTCCTAATGATTTATACTTCTGTCTCAGTGTTATAGAAGAAGGAAAGTCTGAAAGAACAATTAATATATTTCAATGCATAAAAATGTTAAAATTTTGAGTTATTCAAAACAAAAATAAAAAAAAATAGGAATCAGATCAGAAAATTAAAATTTATGATAAGCTTTTTTACTGAATTTTAATTTCAGTACATTTTTAATAAACATTAACTAATAATGTTGGATCCAAATTCTAAGAATTTTAGAAAGTAAAATTGTCCAATATGTTTTTGATTGTGTTTTAAACATAATTATACACTGGTGTAAGAAATTAAGAGAATTTGCAGACTTGGTCGATTATCTCTAGAACTACTGGACAGATTTTAATGAAATTCGCTATGTACATACATTGATACAATACAAAACAAGTAACCATTCAACAGTTGTAATACACACTCATGATTGTGCGTAACACTCGTTGGAGTCGGAAGGTATGAAATATCAGCAGCAGAATAAACAAAATGGGTTAATAAGGGGGATATACAGGCCTCGCAGCGTGATTTCATACTTGAAATAACGCAGTTTATAATTTCCTGTGGCATTTGGCCTGAATTCTCTTCTGGCAATTTCATGCCTTCCGACCCCAACGAGTGTTATGCACTATCATGTGTGTGTATTACAATTGTTGAATAGTTATTTGTTCTGTATTGCATCAATGTATGTACATGGCGAATTTTTTTTAAAATCTGTTCAGTAGTTTTAGAGATAATCAACCAAATCTGCAAATTCTCTTAATTTTTTTCATCAGTGTATTGAATTACTATAAGTATCATCAGGTAGTTAAATTATCACTCTATTGATAAGCTTAGGTTAGAAAACAAAAAAAGTCAACCTCTTGTAAACTAAATTTATTCAAGTACTATTTAATGAATTGAATTTCTAGAAAAATATTTTAAAATTATGTAGTAAATAAAACAAAATGTTAATATATTTTTCTCAAAGGTATGGATAAAGGTCATGCTTAGAAGTGGTGTAAAAATTATGATTTTTTGTTTTGTTTGTTTTTGATAAAAATTACGATTTATATAATGGATTTCTTAGGTCAACTCTTTAACTAAACAGAAAGATTTTTTTTTCACTCAAAGAAAGTATTTTCCTTACATTTAAACGTAACTAAGCTGCAAACAGTTTTGCAACGAAACATTTATACAAAGTAAATGAAAGAAAAGACTATTAAAAAATTGCTTTATTATTAAACTATATCATTCTTTATGAGTAAAATATAATACTTGTTTGACTATGAATTATTGTTTGAACATTTCATTAGCCTGTGAGAAACCTACCGTCATATTTAATAATGCAACATTTTGTTATTTATTTAGAAAAAAAAACAAAGTTTTCAAACAAAGTAAGGTGGAATTAATTTTATTATTTTAATCAAGAAAATTTAAAACTTGAGAAAAATTTACTTTATAATACACAATAAGATCATTTTATTGCATTCCCTCCCCCCTATATTTGAAAAACCAAAAATTTTATAACACTCATCACTGCATTATTTAAATATTTACTAATTTCCCTTTCGTCTAACTCAAAATTATTATTTCTGATTGTAGAATATTCTGCTTAGCAAAACTTAAACTTACAAATTCCCCCTTTCATAATTAAAGAAAAAAACTCTTAACTCAATAAAATATTTCTTAGTTTTATGAATTTTTAAATCAGTTAATAGCAAAATAGAATTTATAATTACATTAAAAATAAAATATAATTGTTCAGAACTTACTAAAAGAATCTGGGAAGCACATGATATTGGATATTTCTTTGGGAGTAAAATATCGAAGTCCCAAATTTCTCAGTAATTCTAATTTAGAATTGTTGTCATCAACACAAGCAACCTGCTTAAAAATTTCAGTCACCTGCAAATAAATTTTAAGCATTTATTGTACCAAAAATTTCATGTGATGAAAGTAGTTGATCACAAGCAATTTTGTAATAATAAATTAATTTCACTGTTTCAAAATTAATAACACTAGTTTCACATTTAGATAACATAAAATTTTAAAACAATACAGTATAATATTTTCAAAATTATTTCATATTTCTAAAAGAGAAATATGAATTTCAGAATTATCTAATAATTTAACTTCAGAGAACAACAGCGTTGGAAAATTAGAATTACAAATATAATTAATATTATTATAATGCTTTTTTAAATTTATTGTTGTTTGTGTGAGAGAACATAGTAACTTTGGTAAGTCATGAAAAATTCGTGAAATTATTCATGGAAAGTCATGGACTTGAAAATCTAAAATGAAACACATACCCCGTATGTAGGAGTAAGGGTAGAAAAAGCAACTCCTACCAATCTGGCTTTTTGCTTATCTGGTACACCTTTCCCCTAAGTTAGACGAATCTCATTGCATAATTATCTGAATATATTGGTAACAATTTTAAGATAAAGCTTAATAAACTTAAATGCCCAAAATTAAACATAATTTTTTTCTAATTTAAATCATATTGTAACAAACACGGTTTAGTTAAAAGGGCGGATCTTCCAAAGCTAATAATTAATTTTAAGTAAGAATGCACAAAGTTTTGAATTTCAACACTGAAGCTGGTGGATTAAACCGGCAAATAAATAATACAGAAATAAGATTTGAGGAATAAAAGAAACTATTTAAAAAATAATTAAGTAATAAATTGCGTAGTCATAAGTTTAAATTTGCAGATCACTAAGAAATAAATAGTTATTGTTGAATGATCATTGTAACTATTTTTCTTGTTTACAAAACTTTAAATACAACATTCTCTTTAATTTTTTCAATCATGGTTTTGAATGTATTGTTAAAAAATGATATGCATAAAAATCTCGAAAAAAGTACCTTTAAAGAATCTGTTATTGGGACAAATATAGATCCAGTTCCTTGAGCATAATGACTATATCTAAAAGAGAAGTAAATATTTAGAAACACAGACAATTTGATGGAAAATGGACAATTTGAATATTTTTCTTCAAAAATTTTTTCATCAATTTAATACATTTGAACGTTTAAATAGTGCAATTTTAACTACAACTTACAGTGAATACAAGGTCATTTACAATAGCTATTTTAAAACAGAACTCTAATTTGTAGCATACATTGTTAGTAATTATAAGAAAACTATGTATTACAACAATTCATTATTATTATTACTCAAATACCTTTTCTTTGAATTATTAAAGCAAAGACAATAAATTTGTGAAAAACATTTTTATTGCAGATGATTTTTGGTCATAAAATTAGTTTGATTTATTTTTAGATGTTTTATAGAAGAGATTAAATAAAAATTAAAAAAATTTCCAGCATAGATTTTGGATTGAGGTAAAGGTTTTTGGGTAGAACAGAAGCCCATTATAGCATTTAGAGTACTTTTTATAGTAAAAATCACTTTAGCTTTTATCTATGTTGATAATAAAATAAGATGTCCTTTAAAATGAAACAAAGTATTTTGGATCAAAATGCAGTTATGTTACTCAACATTTCTATTTGAAAAATTCTGCAATATTTTATTTGTTCACTGATAAAAAAATCTAACGGGAAGGAACTATATTGTAGTTGAGTTGTATTTCTATTAAAATACTACCAACACATTCTTTCATAACAGTCAATAACTACATTGTCTTTTACAAGCTTAAAAAATTTTAAGAAAAGGTAAAATCTGTTTTTTTTTTTTAATTTTTTTTTATTGAAAGTATTAAGAAGGTTAAAGAAGAGACAAAGGAGTTAAGGCCACATATTCCATACTTTCTACTGAAGTACATATTATTAACTGGGTTCAAAAAGAGACATTGTAAGTTTAGACATAATAACTTTCAACTTACGCTTTGGTAAAACAACAGCAGGTGTTACTAGTTTCATCAACAATATCTAAAACTGTCCAATGTTTTAGAAGAACATGATCAGGTACAAGATAAGGTTTAAAATAATCAGGACTATTTTCTTCTAGATGATGTTTTAAACTACACATATTATAAGTACTGTGAATGCATTTTAAACAATGAGATTTCCAATTGTAATTTGAATGTGGAATGATGTTGAATATCTGTAAAGTATAATAACAAACACTTTATTTTCAAATGCCTAAATATATAAAATAATTGATAATTTAAATTTAAATAATGACTTCTTAAAGTTACAATATGCTTAAATACTCATAGTAATAACTAATTCAAGTTGTTTGAAATAAAACTAACATGTTAAGAGGAAATTTGGTGTATATTAATTATTCCATAACTACATTTTCTACACTAAAACATGAATTCAAGTTAGAATGTGTTATATATTTTTTAACTTACACACAATTAGAAAAACTCAGTAATGTCTTCAATTATACAGCATCTTTCGTATGAAGCCAAGTTTATTTATTTATATTGCCTTACCTTGCTTAAACCCCCTCCCCCCCAAAAAAAATTAAATAATCCTTTTCTATAAAAAAAGCTTTATAGAGGGATAAAAACTAACATATCACATAACTGTAGTAAATATAATAAATACAACTGCAAGCATCACGCCCAATACTCTTACCAAGTGAATACAATAAGATGTTTCATAATTCTATAACTCAAGGAAACCTGTTAATAAGATTTAAATAATTGTAGCTAGTAATTTTTTTAATTTAAACTTACTACACTATTTTCTGCTTTATAATAAACAAAAAGAATCCTTTCATAATTATAAAATTCTGTTGTTTAAGAAACTTTGTTTAACTTATTTACTAATACTAACTAACTTTAAACTTATTACACCACTTTTTGCTTTATTTATCATAGTCCAAAAGATTCCTTTCTTAAAAAAATCTTACAGCATAAGAAGTATTATTGATTAATTACAACTTATTTAATAAAAAATAACTAACTTTAAACTTATGACTGTATTTTATTTCTAATACTTCTTATTATACTTCTGCTTCATTTATTCCCTCTCTTCATTATAAAATTCTATTGGGTAAGAAATATGCTTTAAGCTTTAAAAACCATCAGTTAATATTAAAAATGTTCATTATTTCATAGTCTTTAATAAAATGTATAGTCAAATGTGATAGATAAATAATTATAGAGGACATAAAAATTAAACTAACTAAAAAAAAAAAGACATTGAAGAATAATTCAGAGAAAGGAGATTGGCAAAATTTCCAAATAATAATAATAATAATAAAAAACAGGGAAAAAAATGTTAAAAAAAAAATTTAAAAAAGAGTAAAGATCATAAATAGAGGTGACACTATTCTGTACAATTAAATTTCTAAGTGCTTAATAGTTCATGATTATGATGCTTTTAAACACCTGGAATATGCAGATGTAAATTGGAGCAATCCTCCTCTTCTTTGTCTAAGATAATGCAAAAATTACCATTTATTGTAAAATTTTAAATGTTTTTCATTATTATTTATTTTGCTATTTGTTGTAAGAATTAGTTCATTTAAAGAAAAATATTCAACCACAGATACATAGAAAAACATACCTTTACATCAGTAGTTGTAATTGGCTGAGATTCCAACTTAGCAGTCATGTAATAACGAAGTCTTGAATTAGGAACACCAAAACCTATGGGTGACAATAAAAATTCTTGATACCTGTAGTTGCATTGTTCCAAAGTTTTTATTAAAACATTTCTTGCTTCTGAATCTTCAAAACCTTTAACATTCTCTAGAATTATATAAGAGGGTTTTCTCTGCAATCTGTAATGAATGAAAAACTCTTAACAATGTTACCAAGTTGGAATTCTTGCATAGACACACATACAGAAAATTATAAGTTTTTGTTTAGTTGTTTGTTAATTTCAGAAAGCAATTTGTACTGATAAAAGTTTCAGTTTTATTGTAACACCTAAGAGACCAAGTTAACTAAAATCTAGGTATGACTTGAATGTATTATTATATTTTACAAATTTACTTCATAAAAATTTTAAAACATCCTGACTTCATTATTTACGTGTAAATTGTACTAATTCTATTTCTATATCTTCAACACTTTTGCATCCTCAAACAATGCAAAAAACACCACTACTACTTATTAAAATTTTAGATTGTTTCTCTTAAGCTACACTACTTTGTCTGATATAAAAAAAATGCAACAGATTTTAATTTGTTAATGAGTCCTATGATTAGCTAAAACATAACACTGGTTAACCAAGGATAATAAGGCAAATTATACACTTCATTATCAATTTTGATCCATTTATTTCCGAGAGAAAAAATGAAAAAAAAAAGGCTTGATGTAATAAAAAGTTATGTTACCAAGTGTGAATTCTCGCATAGATGTACATATAGAAAATTATAAAATGAAATTATAAGTTTTGCTTAGTTTTTTGTTAATTTTATAAAACAGTTTGTACTGATAAAATTTTCATGTTTCATTGTAATCCCTAAGAGATCAATTTTACTAAAATCTAGGTATGATATTGATGTCTCATTTACTTCATAAAAATTTTAAAAAATCCAAACTTTACTATTTATGTGTAAATTGTACTTATTCTATTTCTATATCTTTAACACTTTTACATCCTCAAATAATGCAAAAAACACCACTACTACTTATTAAAATTTTAGATTGTTTCTCTTAAGCTACACTACTTTGTCTGATATAAATAAAAATATATAAAAATTAACAGATTTATAAGTCCAATGATTAGCTAAAAAGTAACAGCGGTTTAAGTTTAGTCAACCAGGGATAGTAAGACAAAAGATACAGTTCATTTTCAATTTGACCCATTTCTTTTCTAGAGAAAAAATGAAAAAAAATTTTGATGTAATAAAAAGTTATCTACACTGCTTTGCAAAATACATGCAAAACAGTTGTTTCAGGCTCTTTAAAATAGTAAACATTAAAAAATCAAATTTATAACTGACTCTCTACTTGTATGACACAAGCAAGTATGTAATGAATAATCACAAGCAAATAAACATGCTAAAAAGATATTATTTTAAATAAAGTTATAAAATTTTAAAAAATAATAATAAAAAGTTTGAACAACAAAATTTACTTAAAATAACAACCAACTTACTGAACAAGAATTTTCATGATATGCAAAAAAGAATCACTTCTAGCATCCTCTATATCTTTCTTTAATCCAACCCTGGAAATTAACACCAGTATGTAAATTACTTTCGTAAAGCAATATCACAAAAAATATGATTAAGATAAAATTGATAAACGAAAACTGCGGTCACTTTATAAAATGTATGAATAAAGAATTAATGTAACTATCTGGTGCAATAATTATTAAGTACCTTCACCAAAATAATTAGTTAATTTAAATGATATTGATCAATATCTGGATCTCACACCAGAGCATTCTATTACTCTTTTAAAACAAATCATAAAACAAAGAACTTTAAATTTTAATATAAAAACTTTATAAATCTATATTTTAGAATAAAACAGTTTCTTCTTTCTTTTCTAAATTGAAATAAATAATGAATTAATTTAAATCGCTGTCTTTTTTTAAATTTTATATTGAGAATTTATATTGTAAAACACTTCATTTTCATTAGAATAGGAAATATTTCCCAGTCAAAGTAAGATTTAATTAAAGCTAAGTTATTTGGAGTTTAAAATCAAATTTTTACTAAAGCAAAGAACATAAAATTTTTAAATTTGTCTCTGATTTGATTTTATTGAAAACATTGTTATTATAACAAAATCGAAGCAGATTTTAATCAGTACATTAATTTTAAAGTTAATTATAAAATAAAGAATATACATCTTTTATAAAATGTCTCATAAAAAAGCTACATTTAAAATATTAACAAAATTTTTAGTTTAGACAGTAAAAATTAAATTTTTTTATTATAACAAACAGAACAACTTTATTCATGAAAATCATTTAAAAAATATATTTCAACGTTTAAATAATTTTCTTCATCCCCACACCATTTTCTTTTAATAAAAAAACATAATTTAATCATTATTATTAATAATCAATTTATATACAGCTTCAGTGTTTTTTTATAGTCATTATTATTGAAAAATAATTGAAGCAAAAAAAAGATGACACCAATAAGCAAACAACACCTTTAATTTACCTTGTGAATGGCTGACATGGTGGACTCATTGTTATGATATCTATTTTCATATCATCTATTTCTTTCACTGTAAATGATTTTAAATTTCTTTGATAATGACCTTTTATGCCAAAATTATGCCGATAAATTTCATTGACAACAGGATTCATATCTACAGCAGCAACAACATCAAACAATAATTGTGACGCTAGAAATATACAAAATATATGTTATGTTGCATTTTTGTATGAACATGTTGCATGATGTATGAATATAATTAAATTTAATTCAATAATTAACATTTTCTTTGTTATTACATAGAATTTTACCTTTTTATCTAAAACCATTTATTTTATTTTTATGCTAGTTATTTTATTTTTCTGCTAGTTATTTTATTTTTCTTCTTAAAAATTACTTTTAGATTTTTTTTTACATTTACAATTCGTAAACTAAAAAACTGAGTCGGCTGTTCAACGATGTTTATGAAATAAAAAAAAGAAATCTCTGAAATATATTTCTATGCAAGCCAAATGCAAACATGGGAAATCTGTTCACAAAAAAACTGAAGTAATATATTTACAACACAGTTTTTCTAGTAATGTAGGCACACTAAAACCTGAATGCCTTCTACCTACTTGCTAAATTCACCAAATTTTAGAATTGCATTTTTAGCCTAAACATATTTAAATTTAATTCAATAAGTAATAATTAACATTTTTCTATGCTATTATTACAAATTATACATTTTTGCATCGAACTATAAATGTATTTATTATGTTGTAACGTTAGTTAGCTTTGTTTTCTACTTAAAAGTTAATGAAATTCATATTTCAATAGTTGGGAGCTCCAAACCCAAGTCCAGATGAAGACTCAAAATTTTATATATAAAAATATTAACACAAATTGACAAAGATAATAAGAATATTTAAAAATAACAAAAAGCCTAAAAGTTTAATATAGTAGAAAGTAGCTTTAATATATATATAT